ATGCACTAATCGTGAGTAACTTCTAGTCGAACCAGTATTAGGGGTTTGTAACTTTTTTCGATCAAAAATTCGAAGTCAGTTTATACGTAATGTGGGGATCCCCACATGTATGCCCTTGTTAGGAGGATAGATCTCTTAGTTTTTATGATGCCTCTATAAGACCATCCATTCCAGGAATTAAAACATTTAAGCTTGGTAATATGCCTCCTTTGACCGACTTCGACTAGAGTGAATGGCTTTGGCTCTTAGTATAGCCGTATTTCAACAAATTTCAACATTGCTTAATTATGCGTTTGGAGATGAACCGGCGCAAAATGTACCGAATAATGACACTTTTTGGAGGAATCTTCGGTAACCCTCTAAACAATAAGAAAAGACTTTCATGTGTGACAACGGCCTGAATGTATATTGTCAGTGATGTTAAGTCATTGAATTTAGGCATTTTCCAATAATCAGTCGTAGGAATCCCAAATAGATTGAGCCTTTCAATGATGTGTACTGTATGCTACAGTAAAAGTGCCGTACTTGTCAGGGCTTAAAGGACTTAAAAGAACTAAAGTCTTATGATGTTCCTAGACTTCACTTGCTTACTGGTGAGAGCACTCACGGCGAACTTCTTTCATACGGTAAAAGGACATCTTATGACTGGAAAAGCTCCGACACCAGCAATAAGTGTGTTCCTTTGGCCATTTGACTTGTTGATTTAATTTATCTGTGCGAAAGATTCAATATTCTCACTTTTGCGCACATTACGGTCTTTTAGAAAAGCACTTATAAGCTTCTACTGCTCCACTCGTTGAATATATTTTAGGCATCTTTTTAACATGAATCCTAGGTATAGAAAAATATTCGGTCCCCAATACTTGTCTGACTTCATTGTGTAGTTCTGAAGGCTAGCTCATATTCAGCGAGCTCCTTCTGACGAAATTCACTTGCAGTATAAAGATTATGTCTGTCGGTTTTGATAGTACGCCGTGTTCTGCTGCCCCCTATGGCTGGACGGTGTTTTCAAACCATTGCGATACCTTTTGTGAAGAAAGGGATGCGATTGCTGGACAAAGAGCTTTATTTGCATGACCTTTCAGACTTTCGCTGGAACCCATCATCAGAGCCGGCAACAGATAGGAATAGTTAATGCACAAGGGGCTGCAGTATTTATGGGATGCAGTAACTACGTCACCGCATATCTATAAAAAATGCATGTTCTCTCTTCATCAGGGATTATTGCGTTTGGTGCGGCGACAGTTCGATGGCCGACATTTGAATCATTAATCGTAGCAGTTTTGTCATAGGCGTTGGATTTTGGTGATATTATTGCCCAACCTTCTGGCCCGCTAGTACTATCGTTAGGAATGATATTCGCATGTGTCCTCCCCACGTGACAAATTACTCCACTCGGTCAAAGTCTTAGTATCTAACATGAAATGGGATAGGGGGGTACGTGGTAGCACGGTAACCGCACGCTATAAATGCTGCACTTCTTCAGTCAAAGTACCTAAAATGCATCAATAAACCCCTAGCACTGCGACGTCCGTCTGGTGCGGCGATGGATTAGTAAATTCGAGAAACTATAAATTCCGAAGATAAAGGGCCTACTTTTAAGTACATGCCTATGTTAACAGAACTGAGAGATATCTGGTTGCAAGTATATGAGGGAAAATGACACAACTAAATGGTTAGTTTCTAGATTTTAGACAATATTCATGGGGTATAACTTTATATGTCCGGCAGTAGGAATTATGAGTGAAGATTCTCATAAAAGCCTTTAATTTTCTGACAGTTTTATTGATGTCTAAAGTTATTCTATAATTAGTACTTACAAAAACGAGCGAATATTTGCAATTTTCTTGGTTTATTTTTTGTTCTGCATCAAGAATGTACATGTTTAGGAACTGTAGATATTCTTTTGAGAAAAAGAATAAATTTTGACTTAATATCTGGGGCGGGCTTACGATCAATTTGATCTGGGCTCTGTTTGGTATCGCAAATATTGAGAGAGTAAAAGTGACCCTCGCCTAAGCTGGTTATATATTGGAGTCGGATCTGGGAAAAGAATGTCTCTTAGGTCTGTAAGATAGGACTGTCTTTTTTCTTTTTCCTGATATGTCTCTGATCATGCCTGATTTAACCGGTCTGGATAATGTCACGGATTATATCAATTTTGCCATAACGATCCACAGTAGTAGATCTGGACGGCTTAATCCACTTTGTTTGCCGGAAACGGAGGCCGAGTACCATTTACATGTCTTGACGGACTGCCTTGGGTCAGATTTTGAAGTGGTCCCTCTTCGACGCCTCTAAGTAAGTAACGATACCAGACCGATGTCAATATAACCGATCTCGTTAGCTAGACGGCAAAATACATGCCCAAACCATTTCAGTCGCCTTTTTAAATGGCCTGTGACATTTCCGCTTTCTTTTCGCAAGGATTGTGGATTGTCTTATTTGAGACTGGATTGGTGTATTTTGCTCGAAGAATCGTCCGCAAGCAGTGGCGGTCAAATGCCTCCAGTTTCCGATCATCTTTCACGCACACAGTCCAGCACTCACAACCGTAAAGAAGGACTAACAGGACGTACACAATGCACACGAATTTTCATTTCGATGGAACTGTTGCTTCTGGTTCATAAACGCTTGCTAAGACTTTAGAAAACCCGGCGAGCAACCTCGACCGGGGAGACAATGCCATCCTTATCCAGTAGGCAGTGGTCTCTCCTTGAGGTATTTGACTGTGTCTGCAGTTGCAACTAATCATTTCAAGAGATGCCTTCATCTGATCAGGAATGTGGCCTGAAAACCCTTTGTTCTTGTCAGCGTTTATGGATAAACAGACCGATTTATGTGACCTCAGTTACTCGCGACATCAAAGACTGTAGACATCAAAGACTGAGGCCAGCAATGTGAAATTCTTAATGTAGTCGACACCAATTGGTCGGCATCCGGTACAAACTCATTTTTTGTCAACCTCGTTTACGGTGTTTCAAGAATCCACTCAGTGGCCTGCCTAAATGGAGTGAGCAACGGCGTACAAACTTATCGTACTTTTTCGCGCAGGGATTGCGCAACCACCATACTCCTACCTTGTATTATGACTGAACACAGCAATTTTTTAAAAATGCAGAAGTTCCTTAAGTTCAAAAAGTCGATTTTGAATGGATTTAAAAGCAAAGCAAAACTTATATATATTTTTGACAAACTGGCACAATTAATCTTACCAAATCGTGAAAAACGGCTGCCTCGGTGGGGTTCGAACTCATGATGGCTCGGGTGTTGAGGATGTCAGCTGTGCTACTGTGAGACGTCGAGCCTCTCACAAATGAGTCAAACTAACCGTCAAGAACACCTTTTATGTACGTGGGTCTGGTTTTCTTTTGTCGGTTTCTTTACCGACTACTTAGAAAATCCTGCTTAAGCAGTCGATTTGCTTTGTCCAAATTGGCGGGTTTTATTCATTGCTGCAGGTTTAGCGGGGTACTTGATTGAAATATGACATAATTCATGGCCGAAATAATTATAACTTTGGCTGCACTCAAGCGCTGTGCCTGCTCGCGCAGACTTCAGCCAACAGAGGCTACCGAGTTGTCCACAAACGGACGAGATGAAAAAGGAAAACAACAACTGCCCAAAAATTTGCAAGTAAACTACCACAACTGCAGGGCATCAAGGGCGAATCAGCGTAGAAATTAGTAATTATAATTGAAGGACATCTTGAAAATTAAGCCCTGGTTTGATTCATTTGTGGCGCCATAAATTTCCCGCCACAAAGGGCATCGATAATGGCAGAGCAGACTTCGTATGGGCGCAAAAATGTTCTGTCTCATGGTAAAGAGCTTGGTGCTTAGACGCAAATGCGAATTGCGCGTGTGCTAATATGCATTTTGCGAACACAACCCCTTGACGTCTACATGACTCAACCACATTACTTTGCCAATATGCAAAGTAGGGGTCATATTAAGCTGCATACAGTCTTCACCAGTCTCATTGTGCGTGACACGTTTTCTGTGTAGTTCAGGCAAACAAACTAATTTGTCCTTTGTCTGCTGGTAGGTTGGACGAGAAAAGTTACCTTCTCTTTCAGATTTTACACTCATCTCATGTTGTTTGCAGACTACTCTACCTTCGCCGCACAATGAAATTTTAAAAAAAATTAACGGCCGAAATCATCATAACTGCCATGAAACGTTTATGTTCCAGCCGACCCTCCTGAAATATGGAATCACGATATAAGACTATGTAGACCTACTTAAACTTAACAGTGCGGTTATTAACACCAGCAGGACCATTTAAAACTGTGTCACCTGAAAACATGAAGATGAAATGTTAATGACAATGCTTTTAGACGCAAAATACGTCTCTTTTCAGCATTTACTTTAAAAAATCACAAATGTACTGTGTTACAAATTATAATAGTGTTCACCTGTTACCATATGTTTGATAAGCCTAAGCGGTTCCAACATGAAAAAAAATAATCTGCGATAAAATTAAAAGGCAGACGACAGTTTTATATGGCGTTGCTACTTAATCAGACCTGTACGAAATGCTTTATGTGAATTTAGTAGGGAACTTTTCCCACTTATACTGGATTATCAAATGTGAGCAGGGGGAAACAGAGGTGAAAACGGCATGATGTGTTGGAATACTACTGCTTTTCAAAATCATCTCCATTGACTAGTATTTTCCATTGCATAATCTGTGGCAGAGTGTTGAGACAAAGGCGTTGGCTTTTAACGTCGTATAAGTACGGATTTGTCTCACACACATTCCTGACAGCTGTTCACGACACAGACACACCCCGCATTATAAGCTTTTTGACCACAGTTCTTGCGTTGACAGTAAAAAATGCCGTTTCTACCATTTATCACAACAGAATTTTTAACACTTGAGTATATCAAAGCCCTATAATGTTTGGTTTCTTTTCCAACGTTTCAGAAAGTTTGTAAATCCCTTCCCCTGAACTGAGAAAATGCACGGTATCGGGAGAAATCAATACTAGAACGCTAATGGCGCATCAAGAGGATTCCAGTATGGCCATGCTTATTTCCACCCACTACTGCCTAGACGGTCAGATACTTGAAGGACAGCAAGAAGTGCCATGTCAAATCAATGAAGTGAAGGCCTTTTATGAACAGGAGTTACGAAAAAAGGATGAGCTAATCAGGAAACTCTCAAAGTAACCTTTGAAAGATCCCGATTATGACTTAGAATTCAACCACCTGCCGATGAAAGTTGTTCGACTGAGCCGCATGACTCAGCAGCATCAACCGACAAAATTGAAAGGATGAAGGTCAAACTCCGCCAGCTTCATCAGACCGTAGCTCCTCCACACTTAGGTCATTTTCTAGATTGACGAAGGCCGAGCACACCTCAAGGAACGCGAGGAACGAATACATGATTTAACTGTTGAAAATGAATGCTTGAGTATTGATAATCTGGAGCTGTCTGCGCAAAAGGATGCCCTAGAGAGGGAGCTCAGGAGTGCTCAAGAGAGGCTAAAGGAGTTTGCAGCAGTTCAAAGTCGAAACGAGGTTACGATAGTTTCTCTCCAGGAGGATATAAATTCTAAACAGGAAACTTTATGTGAACTGATGGATAGGATAAAGTAAAAATGCCGTCATTCAGTACATACAGGCGTTTAGCAAACTAAACTCTAATACGAGCAACAAACTCTCCAATCAAGAAAAGGAAATTCAGAATCACAAAGAAGGCCTTCAGACTATTGCCTCACTTCTGGCCTGTAAGGATTCCTATGAAGTCTGCTTTGAGGAGGTGAGTCAACGGTTTCTATCAGATGTCAAACGATCCCTTGTGCACTGGATACGGAGTTTCTTTCTGTTTCCGGGAGGAAACTATACAAAGCTTATTCAGAGTAAAAAGCCTGGTCGGTATTTGAGGTCTCCAGTCTTAAAAAAGCTTGTTGACGGATTACTGGGTGGGAACATCTGATGTTTCATTATGCTTAAAAGTTTGGGTACGTGGTCCATTTAGACAGCTTAAAACTGCGTCAAGCTCTGGGTCCTTCCCGTCAGGGATCGAGCGGAAATGATCGACACAGGTCAAGTACACCAGAAAGAGTCGTTTTGGTTTTTCTTGCCCTTCTGTAATATCAACGACCGCTGTCTCCTACACTAGGCATTCGCTTACGCCAAAATATATGTCTAAATTTAAGTTGTAGGTAGCTGACACTAAGTGACACTCAAAAACAGTCGGTTTTTCGTCGGAAGCAAAAGACTAAACAAAAAATGTATTTTCTCGTGGGCAACTGAGGCTATTCAAAATATATCATTGTTTAAGATTTGTCTTCCAAAATTTTTCTACACCAACCTCATAACTGTTGAACAGGAGAGCACATGATCTTACCTTATCAGGGAACTTTAGATGACATCAATGACGAGTCAGTACGCTCCCGGTGATTCTACTGTTGTGATGGATGAATGCGAACGAAATTTCGTTGCAACCTAATTCATTTGAAAGCACTTCTTTCAAAGAAGGGTTTTTCCCTGAATGCTTTTAACCTAGCCGTCACTTTTACTTAAATACACAGATTAAAGAGCTGATTCGGAAGAAGACCGCACTAGAGGGTCAGGTATCGCGACTACAAGACACGGTGGCTTCTTCAGAATTCGAACAGCGTGCTGCGCGAGAAACTACTCTGCGCCTGTCAGGCGAGTTGAACAGGGAGGTCAATGCCCGAGATAATGCACAAACTGAAGTCAAGGAAATGCAAAAAGTAAGTTGATCCGGTACCGGCTTGAATTTCTATCCCCGCGTGTATGAGACAAGCGACTGGTGTGCCAAAAGGCAATCAAAATTGGGACTCTCAGCTTCAGAGAAAAAAAACGGATTTTCCCACATTCCATCTTGCAATCAGGTAGATCGACGCATGCCATTCCGTTAGGACTGAATAATTGGCTGTTTTACCCAAGTCGACATAAGCCCAAAGAGCAGTGTTGGGGGCCCTGCTGGATGTTTGACTGATTTGAGCACCGGTCTTTTGTGCACGGGCTCCTGAGTTTAAATTAGCATCGGCTGGTGACGTTTAAAAAGCCATAAATGGCCACTTCTTTGTCTTGGTTTTGACAAGTCAAATTTATTTTATATTTACGTAACCTAGTCACTGAATATTCCCTCACTCACCAATGACGACCTTTGTGGGATTCGAATTCGCAACAATGGCATGGCCTGAGTGCAACCAGAGTACTAACCACCTGAGTTACGAGGCTTCGACCAAAGGTCTTGGCTTTTTTCATTTGAACTAAGGGGCCTACTGTGTCCGATTTTATGGATTTTGAACGTTAGAGTAGGCTGGGTTGTTGCTTGGTCCAAGTGCAAAGAGCCCAAAGCCTTCGGATGGGACCATTTGGCCAGTTGACCATATTCAACTTCTGCCCTTACTGCCGTCAGTTCAAATTTCACCGAGACAGCCGATTTTTTACGTCTTTAAGTTAAATCGCTCAGACCTGCCAAAGTACATCACGTTTCCTGTCAGTTTTCACGGCGGACAAAAATGACTACAACGCCTGACCGATGGGAAATGAGTTACGGAACTCGGGCGCCCCGTTTTGCCTTGGAAATCCAGTCCAGTTCACAAAGGGCGGGCAATCAGTAATCGGGTTTATACAGTAGTTGGTTTGTTTTATGAAATAGTAACTGAAATTCTGACATGTGTTTCTGATTCAAAAGGATTACTTGGGTAGGGTTGTGTTACTGATTATTGTGCACCATAATCCAAAGATATTTCAGTCATAACAGGAAGCCGTCTTCTGAATGGCCATCCTTCCGTTTGCAAAAACCAAGCTCGAAAAAAGATGACTACTTAAATCGTCTGCATTCTTCCTGTCGATTTCGATGCCCTCATAAATTCGAATATATTTTTTAGAAAACGTGCAAAATGCTCCTTCCTATCCTCCTTTGGTAGCAACTCACGTTGTCTTTTTATTTTACAATTAAATCAAATGTATACTTAGGTTTAAACATTTTTTTATTCAAGAATAATTAAGGACCTGACCTCCATCTGTACTTACGCTTAGGATTTCAAAAACTACAAACTGTTTACTTCTCATGTAATGAGAATTCCACATTTCTCTATTCTGTTATTAATATACCCTATGGGGCTTATGTAATTTTGCAAGGAATGTGAACTGTGTTGTATGTTTATAAATGGGCATATACGACACTGTATGAATCGTCATTTCACATGGTTAAAAAATCTAATGGTTAAGAACTTTTTGACAAGACGCGAATAGGAGCCTTCCTGAACTATATTCTTACATCATGTCTACTTGTTCGATTTAAGTAGTTTGTCACTGATTATAAATAATCCCAGTAACATCGGCGTCAACAGCACTTTTCAAGATGGTATACGTAGAGTTTCAAGCTAATTAAACGGTGAGAAACGTGGCACACGAGATAAGAACTTCCACCCCCCGGTGCAGATGACCTTGCGCCAAATTCTAGGTAGGTTAAGGTTGAGGTTGAGGTTGGGGATTGAGTCGAGTTTAGGTCCAGGGCGATCGTTAAGGTTAGGAATATTATTGAATGTAGGGTTAATGTTTGAGTGAGTGCTAGGGTCAGAACATGAGGACGAAACCCTTCCTGGAATTTAGCACAAGGCAATCTGTACTACAGGAGGTTTCTACTCCTGTGTCTTGCCGTAAAAACTGTAGTAAGCAAACGACAACTAGGACCTTCTCAATTTGCAAATTTTATTTCAAAAAAACTCGGAAAGAACTGGTACTGTATGTCAGTCTGCCCAAATCAAATAAATAGACACGATATGGGAGTACAATTTAATGAGAGTACCTATTCGCATTACTCACCCGATTTTCAAACCAAAAGATACCCATCTGTAAGAGCAAAATTTAACGAAGACTTAATGTGCTACCAAACGAGTACAACAGCCAGTATTTTGTATTTGCGTTCTAGCACTTATATTTTATTTACCTGGCTTCTGGGGGGACGTGGGTGGCTGACAGATGAGGGGCTTTAGCTGGAGGCGCTCGTAATGGTTTCGTTCTGACCAAATCATGGTAAGCGCGGACAGTGCTCCACATGGTTTCACTCATCACGAGGATTTGCACATGCAGGGTTTTGCTCTCACAAGATACTGACGTAGGCTAAGTGAGATGTTTGATTTGTCCAACACCTCCTCAGCCACTATGTGGTTGTGTACATAGTCGCCGGAAGAGAAGGCTAAAAATAGCCTCCAGCACTTTCCGTGAATGTAGTTGGCTAAAAATCGACCTCCGGTTGCTGCCTGGATGGCCCAGTATACTCCAGAAGTGGATCTGATCCCCAAATCCACCCTGGAAGCGAGTTAGAAGTAAGTATTTTCGCCCACTTCAAGACTTGCCTGAACTAAAAGGCATAGCTACTATTTGGAAGTCATCATGTTATCCAGCGAGGAAAACATTGTGGTAGACTGGGAAATCAAAACGTTATGAAGTCAACTTTTTGCTCAACCCTAGAACCACTTAACAGTCGCTGGATGGTATGAAACGATGGGTGCTTATCGGGGATTACGAGTAGTGCTCGTTCAGTGATACGAAAGGTCCGAAATCACGTGAGGCTGCCGAGCTTGGGACGTTGTAGTCTGTTAACATGCACTTCCGTTTTACAAGTGGAAAATGGATTTTAAGTTCTTAGCCTTATTGTGGGAAGGGTTTCGAACAAGTACAGTTAGAAAGGAAAACCGTTCCAGAACCCAGTCGAATGGAAACAATAAAGGAGACCGTTAGGATTGGGATAGACAACGGTGTTGGTGGCAATATTTTCAGTAGAAATGGTAAGTCAGGGGGATCCATTCCGACTAAGACGGCCTGACAGACAGGTTTCTGTTCAAAAATCGAAGGGCAAGCGATTTTGCGCTGAAGTGTGCTTGTTGACTGTTCAAGGTAATTGGGGTTCCATCAATGCTTGGGCAACTGACTGGGGTTCAGGAAAGAGTATGCTGGTCTGTCTTGTTCTGGGCCTTCATAGTTGGCGCGACTGCATTCACTCCTCTTACCGTTGATTTAACCAGTATCGGTCTGTCAGAGTAACAGTGTACCGGATCACCGAGGCCGCAGTTTTCAGAAACCGGAAAGCTCTCATAACAACAGATGCCTCCAGCGGCTGGTTGGGTCTCCTGACCTCAGTTCAATAGAAAATGTTCGGGATTACCTTCACCGGTAAAGACTGTTTATATGCCTCTCCTCACGGCTGCCGCGTAAAACAGGTGGATCTGCACTAAACTGCGTCAACATTATTGCTAGGCTTAAAGTTGCTGGCAGGGTTGAGTTCTGGGTTAGTTTTAGGGTTAGAGCTAGATTCCGAACTACGGTACAGTTGGGGCTAAGGTTAGGATTAGATTTGAAGTTGGGCCTCGGGCTAGGGTTGCGCTTAAGGTTTTGGTTCGGTCAGTGCTGGGACACGGGAATAGGTACCTCCCTCCCGGAATTTAGCACAAGGCAACCTCTATGAACGGGGTTGAGGGGATTCTTCCTATTCCCGCGTCCTCCCAGGTGAATGGAGGCCATGTGGCATATCCTCATACCCTCGATGAGTGCTTGCAAAAACACCGCAACTATAGTACCCTAGCAGCTTGGGCCCGCTCTTACGCATGCCCGGTATGTGGTAAAGCGAGAACATACTTAATATCTCATAAACACCTTAAACAGACGCGTTGGAGTTACCACTGTACAGAAGGGTGTATCTACACGAGACCAGTAAACCAGTTAATTTATCCCCCTTGTAATTATTTAACACACTTTAAGACGAGGTAAAAAGCGTGCGGTACTCACTTGATTTGAACTGATTTGGCACAATTCACTGGAAATTCACTTTTTGACTAATAGTGTATACTCTATTTGCATCGTTGACGAAATCAAGAAGTTGTAACTTTCAGATACTCGGGACCTCAAAGGTACTTCAATGCTTGGCACTGTCAAAGTGGTGCTTAGGTGGATGTTTAAATGTCCACTTACTAAGACCTTGGGCTTAGGAAGATCGACGCTTGAACGGTTATTCTAGCATTGACATGTAGTTAGACTTAACAGTGCCCGTCTACGATGATGGCTGGGAAGTGCACTATTTAAAACGAAAAACTTAAAATCTGACTGACAACTACTAATTTGCGTTTTGTAATATTAAATTGGAAGGGTCGGAAATCCAAAAATACAGAAGAGATAATTTGCAAAGCCATCTGCTCAGGGGTCCTATCAAAAATAATATCGTCTGAAGCAATATACCAGTGGTCATCTAAGGCATACATGCTCCTGGTTAAGGGAAGTCGACGAGTTTGGTTTCATTTAAGCAATAAGCTAGCATTGAAAAGTCGGCTACGTCTTCAAATTATGCTCATTTCAGGCAATCGGAGGAATGTTGTTGCTACACGAAAGCACGTCGCATATTCGATTTATCAGTATCCCCTTCTCTTATAATTTTGATGCGCCAAACTAACCTTATTACTACATGGTAGTAAGATAAATCGGATGGCTGCGAGTCCAGAATGGAAGTAAACACGCCGCATTTGACATCCGCTGCAAACGCAAAACGCTGTTTCCTTCTCTAATTAAAATGCTACCGAAATTTGGGCGGCGCACACAAGCACATAATTAATTTTCCAACCACTGGTGAAGGAGGAGATATGATCGTTTGAATAGAAGCTTTATTAGCATGACGTTTCGCATTCTCCCTCGAACCCATCATCAGACACAGAGTCCGACAAGGGTAGTGGATTGCCCAGGTTTTGCCGTTTTATAGGCTGTAGTCGCTAGGCCGCTACATGCCTATCACATTTGGCAACTCCCGGGTTCATCACGGCTCGACTGGCCAGGTGTTGGACTATGCAATTGCTATGCGCCTGTGTACCGGTCATGAACCATAACTTGAAACAACAACTTACGTCTTGGCCGCTTACGGACCTTAAAATGATACGCGAGGACGAGCAATAGTAAACTCCTTGCAAGCAGTCGGCTGAGCCGCTGACTGACCTTCACTAAAAACTATTCTTCAGGAACTTGAGGCAACGAAAGCTCTTCTTGAGGGATCAGAGGCCAACGTGCGGCTCCTACGAGATCGGATTCAGACTCTGACAGAGGCCTTGGAGAAGGCGCACTCCGATTTTGGCAAAAGAGAGGAAGAGCTGCGACGCATTGGCACGCTGGATGGGTCCGTGCGTGTACCAGTTCATCCTGGCAGTCCTAATAACCTGCCTATCAATCCCCAGCTCTCCAAGCGATATGAAGAGGAATACAATCATTTTCAAGAATTTTTGTGAGTCAGTCTTCTTAAGCACCTTCTTCCCGTTCTGTCACTTACTAGCGATTCCATTATGCCGATGAGATGAATGCTGATTTTGTTGGTCGCGCCACTGTTGGTGTAGACCAGTCTAGACCTACTAACAAGCTGAAGGCGGGATCTCTGGACATTTATGTCTTCACAGACCAATGCGGTTATACACGCATATGCAGAATAGTGTTACTGACAAAGGGAGACTGGAATGACCATTTCTGGCTTGTTAGTCGACATCGACCAGGCATACCCGACCCCGAGGTATGCAACTCCCGAAGCTCGATCTCGCGTCCTGTCCGTTAAGATCGGGTATATAAGCAATGGTATAGGGGCCTGAACCGATTGTCTTAAGAATTTCAGTCGCTCGTCGTGTCTTGGGGCTCTTTCTCTCAAAATCAATCAGCTTTTTACCGTTTTTGAAATCGGAGCCCACATTTTGGAAATAATCCCAAATTTGCAAGACAGAAATCCTTCATTTTTCGGTCTGCAGGCTGCTATATGGGCGCCTAGTCTTTAGACATTTTAACAAACATTTTCAGCAAGCATGCGTATTTCCATATCCATTACGCCTGTATATAAATGTACGTGGTTGTTGTGCAGTGAAATGTAAGCACACTTTATTGACACCTGTCCCTTGCCCCTGACATCTGAATTTGCTCACAACTCTTTCCCCTTGTGTTGGTAGACCCAAACAGCCCACAACTCTTTGCCTCACAGACTTACTCATGGTTGTTTTTCACTTTTTACTGCCCCACTCTGAGTTATGTTACTGTGAGGGGCAAGGGTTAAGTATATGCGTGTGGTAAAAGAAAACTATAGGGATCTGTCTACAATATTTTTAAAACTAGGTGTTGGTCAGTAGAGTTTTGGTTAGCCCTTCGTCGGCAGAATGACATTCACCGACCTATACGCCCCCCCGGGGGTTGGTGCTGCTGAGATGTTGACGTAATTATCTGTAAGAGGAAAGTTCATTTTTAAAAGAAAATTAGGTGCGGAGAGCAGTCAAGTAGCATAACTAATACTCAAAATATCGTTAGATGGAATGCATACACGTGCCAGTGAAGCAGGAGTCTTAAAACGCTGGGGAATTTGTCAAACAACTGTTTGCATTTTCTTACCCCGCACGTACACTTAGTCCCTACATTGTGATGATCCGATGGGAAATAGCCGAGAATGTGTTTTTGCCTATTTTGACTCCCTCAGGGTAGAACCCGATACACATGTGTGACCATGCTTATTGCTGATGACAAAACCCTGAATATTTTGACCGGCGAATCCTTTCCGATGTCGTGGATCTGACTGTCATAATCTTCCATTTCGTACGTACTTAACTTTTTATAAAACAAAGACTCGTCCAAAATGCACCAGAAACTGAAAATCTGTCTGCACAATACAAGTGGAGTTTATAAACTGTAATACTGCCCTTTCCTGACCTCAGGTACAGCTTTCGTTTGAAGTTATTTTTTATATTTGGCAGAATGCCGAAGAGTGCAGTGGTTTGTTTTGGTCTTTTTTCCTAAAGGCGTTTCGGCCAATATTACCTGAAGAAAGATGCTGATGTCCCCTCATCAATAATTCTGAAGGAAATTAAATCGAGGCTGGTAAGCTTAGAGGCGGAATTGGGCAAGGCAAGGCTGGTAAGTCAAAATACATACTCTCCGTAATGTTTCATTCTAATGAATGTCTGGCACGTGTCTCCCGTTCTGCGGTTGCTCCTTCTTGTTGATGCTGCTGGAACTTTTTTGGCGTAAACCGCTGAAAGTAACTGGGTTTGTATGGTAACGTTAATTGCCAAAGCTACATTGTAACCGATTCTGTTGTACAATTATAAAACGGATGTTCTCTGCAAAATTAAAACAAGCAGGAAGGGACCTAACTCATTAAATATGTCTTATCTAACGAAGAACCACTAACCATTCAAAAACGAGTCTGAACTCGTCCACCAATACACCAAAACTAATTAACGAACGACCTCTAGTTGAATGAAAACACAAAATAAGCATTACGGATACTACTTCATCAGTGAGAAGGAAGGATTTTAAAGGAAAATGTAAATATCGGAGACGCAGAAAATCGTGAAACACGAGTAGACGCAAACTGTAAGTCCAGGTTATGCTTGCTCATGCAAAAAACTAACTAAGTAAAGGGTATAAGCCCAGTAATGTCCAAAGAATCATTGTTTACATGCGTTTTCGCTAAATATCGCTCAAGAATTAGTGTTGCATGAAGTCTGGCACAGAGTCAAATGCGTAATATACGGTCATTTTGCGCAAAATCGACGGACCTTTCTGTTCTTGTATTGTTCCACTTGCGGTTGATTAAACCAAAGAGGATTCTGCTTCACGGATGGAGGCGAATATGCGAATCCCAGGCTCTTATTGTAAAGAAGATGAACACACGATCTTTGGGACAGAAGGTATATTAGTCTGAACTTTCGGTCTCGTATAGGAGGCCAGCGTCAGAGACTGTGAGAATGCGATAAAAAATGAGCAGTTTTTGTTGTCAAGCCATAAAGGGAGAGATATGAGTGCAGAGGGTGGTATTCGCGCTAAGCTGAGTCCCACGCCGTCTCACGGCGGCGGGACAGCGTGAACTCTTGGTTGAAAATTGGGTCTCGCCTCTTGGCCGCGGGAACGGAGGGCGTGATAGCAGGGGGGTATGGCAACGTGTCTGTTGATAGAGTTGGTGTCAGACATCCAGGCCTCCAACAGTTCTCGCCCTGTCTTATCGCTGGCCCGCACTACTATCCGCGGGCTCGCGAAGTTGACTTCGTAGCCTTCCTCCAGGGTGTGAGTGGCGACCTGAGACAACGGGTCGCCTCTCTGGACCGCCCGTTTATTCTCCGTTATTCGTAAGCTAAGTCATCGTCCGGTCTGTCCTGTGTAGTGGCGAGGGCATTCCCGACATGGGATCTGATAAACGACACCCGATTGCTATCCCATTTCTAGTCGATCCTTTACTCGCATGGTTTTGTTGCGCATGGTCGCTGTCGGACGGTGAGCGGTACCCACGCCGAGCTCTCCAGCGATACCTTCCATCGCTTCGAACACGTCCTTTATATATGGTAGAGGGTGCCACAGTGTTGGCGGCTCTCCTCCGTTTGTTCGCCGTGGGTGCGTGCTGAGGCAGCTACTGACAAAGCTGTTCGGGTATCCATTCCTTGCCAGTTGGTCCCGAAGATGCCGAAGTTCTCGTACTCGTCCATCTGGCCCACTGCAGTGCGTTTTTACCCTTTGGAAGAGTGTCCTAACACAGTTGCGTTTATGCGCCATTGGGTGGTTACTATGGTACTTAAGAATCTGAGTCGTGTTATTCGCCTTTCTGCACACCGTGGTGTTGAGTTCGCCGTTGGGTGTGCGTGTGACGAGAACGTCATAGGAGAAGTTGGAATACGTTCGCATATTGACGTCAGGTCAGGAACTGTTAAGTTTGGATAGAAGTTTCAGGCGTAATCGTAAACGTATTAGGTTATATACAGTAAGGGGACTTTCCTTCCGTCAAACTGATTTGCCGCCTTTTATGATGTTGGAGTACCTTGAGCGTAAGACCGTCTTTGAAATATCTATGAATGCTTCAGGATTTTTAGTTTTCACTTGACTGGTCATGAAGATGAATTTTGTGCCATTTATTTATTTATTGAAACCTTAAGAAATAAGATACTTTATGTTAGCATTTACTGAAGAAGCGAGTGTTTGGGCGATCGTATTCATGTAGATGACTGTTTGTGCCATATTTGGAAACTCGCCGTCAAAAAATGAGCACCCACAACGAAAGCCGACAACGAATGTGCTCTCGAGTAATTGAAAAACTTTCTCTTATAAGTTGCCTGATTGAAAAATCTTTAAATGCTTCATTATGTTGACGCAAGCGCGTGTAAGTTATCTTTTACATGGTAAAGCTATGAAAAATTCATACTTTTGACCGTTTTTCATTGTCCTGAAAAATGCTGATAATTTGTCGGCCGCAAACGGAAGAACTTGCCTTTCTCATTTATTTGAGGGCTTCCGGTGTAATCTAACGTGGAGGGCAAAGAGTCAGTACGTATCACGTCTAACATGGAGGCTCCATATAATTAAATATCAGTTTTGTCCAACCTGGATTGATTACCAAAGCATTTATACCAATTAATATGCAATTTCACTGAACTACTTGTTGTCAAACAGGTACATATATCTGTCGTGCGTCCAGAAATATCCGACATCTGTAAGGTTTCCGTGCACAGTCAGAAACAACCATAAATCCTCGACCATATTGGCCTTTTCTTTAGTGTATTACCCCTGTACAAATCCATTCATTCTGTCCAAAAACTATCATAAATCATTATTCCATAAATAGTTTGTAGGGAATTGCTTAGTTTGCATATGTGATACTAAAAGAGAGGGTTAGTTCATTATCAAGTAAACTTTTTCAAACAGTAATGCTAGATCGCGTGGTAAAATTTCGTCAGAATGTTGCTTTTGAAGTAAACAACCTGGGTAAAATTAACTATTCTATTTTGCAGCCACTAAAAACTTCGAGGGGAAATGTAATGATCCATGAGTATTTCCTAAAAAGTATGTAGAGTATAGATCGGAAATATTAACCGTAATGGTAACCTCAGTTGCGTTTAAAATATGCAGAGGTTGTTAAACTCTTGTGCAGTCCAGGTACTGCCTATGTTGCGCACAACAGTTGAAGGCGTAAGTCTCAGTAAACATGAAGTAAAAATGAAATCCATGAGTATTCTTTCAAGCAAACATGATTGTCTGCGCAAAAATAGAAAAACTGCTATGGTAAATATTATGCTTGACATTTATTAATAACACAATGCACTTAACCAGTATTGCCTCGATAAACTAGCCTCTGAGTTACCTGTATGGGGTCTTAGTCTCATGTTTTATTGCATACTTCCCGGGCTTTTTTCCCTCCTATCATTAGGCCTTCATGAAATGTCAGGGTGATACCGGCGAGGCTGAATTGGCAATTAATAGCCGAGATTCGCGTATACTGCAGCTCGAGGAAACCGTCGAACGATTGCGAAGTGAACTGGCTGAGGTCTCGGTTGTAAACGAGGCTTTAAAGAAGGACAAGTGTTCGGTGCGTTATATGCAACAGAGTTCCATTACTTGCTTTCAAGTAGTAGGTCATCATTTATTATTTTAGTATTGCATTGCCGCGCTTGACTATCCGAAATTATTTCAAGTCGCTATGTCGAACTCCTGCCTGTATCACGTCCTTTCCCGGACACCAATTTTACATCTCGTAATACAGATCTCGATGGAACAACATTCATCAGAGCAAAGGTCGTACGATCAGAAAAGTTCTCAAGAGTACGTGGCGATTTTAGAGGCGGCTTTCGCGTTTTTAGCGCTCTAAACGACAGGCAGACATTTCATTCAAAAAAGTTATGCCCAAATGAGGTGAATTTCTGATGTTTTGTGATAGCTGGGCCCGCAAAACACGTCTTTGTCAGTATTGACAAAATACTTCGAAGTTAAACAAAAGCTTCTCTTTTAGGGTTTCTCGCCGTGTGTGCTTGTTTCCCTCCGTAGGAGCGAAGTGACACAGTCTCGAATGAATATCCTACTACTTTAGCATTGCCGTTAGCGTTTTACAATTCTAAAATTTAAGCAGGTTAGCTATGAATTCGAACTATACTTTACAGGCTCATTAAAGTATTGCCTTTAATCCACTGTCAACAACTTTATTCCTCAGAAGTACAACTTATTCCCGTTTTTTGCTCTACAGCTGAACAGTTTTCTTATGAAAGTGGCTGACCACCTTAAGCTCGGCGAATTGGCTACAGAGGCCGAAATCCCTTTGCTGATGGACGCAGTATTCAGTAAGAAGGATTTTTTAAACCGTCAAGCTCTTTGCGTTTTAACCTTGGTTTGATTCGAATATCGAGGACACTGCAGTTACATTGTGGCCTGCTAACGTTTCTTTGGGTATTCCCGTTCAGTTTTCTTTTGTTAAGACTGATTTTCTCACGTCCTGCATCTGGTTAGAGCTCAGTGCTGAAAATACTTGATCAACTGGTGGCTAAACGGATGCCGCGCTAATTGCAATGTCGGAATGAAACAAGTGACCTGTTAGTAGGCAAGGGATCATATTCTTTGCTGTCTGCGTAAAACCCTGCCAAGCATTGAAGTGCTTAACGTCCCTGTGTGTCTCCTCTTGATCATTCGTGTATTTAGTCTGCCTAATTAAAAAAAGCAAAAATTCTACAGCTCTGACCTTGCACTACCGCTACTCTGTATTGGAATGTGGGTTGGCCAGTGCTAGCTACAGTTATCCTTATGTATTAACTCACCGCCTTCCCATTCTCTCGTTAATTTCTTCTGTAAAATCTGCAAGTTTCAGCTTGCAGAAGGAGAGTACTGAAAAAGACAAAGGAGACTGGGATGGTCATTTTTGAACTACCAACCTTCGTTAGTCAGCCTTTTTCGAACTCAGATTTACTGAATCTGAGTCATCGGTCAGTGGGAGAGCGTTGAACTTCATAAGGTCCGATGTCCAAAGGATGGGGCGTTGATTTTCCGACATGTGTTTGCGAAAGGCCGGCTGACGACGGCTGATAGGCCGGAAATGGCTTTCCAATCTCCCTTATTTTTGCCGTTACTCTGCCGAGAGGGCTCTAGACTGGGCTCGAGTTTAATCAAATTTACCCGCCCAACCTACTGAAACGTCTGGAATCCACCAAATCTGATACAGTAAGTTGACTGCCCAAGCAGGATTTCCTAAGTAATTCACCTAGAATCCACCAGAGGACGTCCAGGCTCACTAAAGCCTCGCCCTTGCTGTCGTGGGTTCAAATCGCACCGAGGCGCCGAGTTTTTTTACAGTTGGGTCAATATGAATCGTTCAAAATCTGCCAAAACATCTATAAACGAAAAAATAATTATTCCCCACTGAAAACTGGAATTCCAGAAAATGGCTATATTACAAATCACTTAAACAGGCTTAACTATGGGAGTGCAAGAAAAGGGGAAAATAAAGGCAAATGCAAGGAACTCGGCGTTCTACTGACTGTCCATTTACATCTAACACAACAGCTAGTCTCTTAGATTTGTAAATAATCAGATCGTCCATAGCTGATTGTTCAGTCAGATTATCCGGCACAAAATCAAAATTTTCATGCATTAAAAAACTACTATTTTGCTTGTAAAAATGTCATGTTATAAGTGCGGAGAAGGTTTTCGATAGGGTCAGGATCCAGGATGTCGACAGGAGTAGAAATCTGTTAAAGGCCACGTGTGGAGAAGCCGGCTGTTATTTAAAGTGTTCAATTACAGTTACCGACGTTGCTAGAGTCGTACCTCTTCAAGGAGTTAGACAAAAACATTATCGTTATGGCATCAATTAGGTGTCGGTAGAGGTCATTGTAGTCAATATCGACGAACACTTTGCTGTTGATGGTGTCCGTAATCGACGTATCCAAACCGCCAACCGTCGGCAGTCTGGCATTACAGACAAAAACAAGGGAGACTGGAATGGCCGTTTCTGGCTCATTAGCCGTCGTCAGCCAGCCATACCCAACATAACCTCTGGTGTTCCACACTTCGGGTTGAGTATGACTAATAAGCCAGAAATGGCCATTCCAGTTTCCCTTGTCTCTGTCGGTAATGCCATTCTGTCGATATCATGCGCCGCTCTGCGGCTGCTGGTTGGGCTCGAGAGAGAGAGACAGTCCATAAGGCAAAACGGAACGAGTTCTGTAAGAACGACCGGTGAGCGCCCCCTGCCGTCGGTTGTTTTTTGATAGTTGCCACTGCCACAGTATCTTCTTTGGAAAGCTCTTTTCACATGTCTTTGTCGGTACTTCCTGCACCGCACATAGATTTATGGACCGCTAATTTAGAAGTTTGCCCTAATTGCACTCCAATGGCATTTCAGCACGACTACGACAGATTGTGGCTGGAGAGGGGGAGCGAGCAGCCGGTCAGCGCGTGAAAATCGTCAGACTGCAGCAAAAACTGCGCGAACTGACGGACAGAAACGAGTCTCTGGAGCTGCAAGTGAATGTCCTCCGCAGGCGCATCAACGACCAGGAAGAACCACGTGCCACCTCACCCAGACGTACGGCTACTTCGCTGACAGACGCGGACAGACAGCGGAGAAGGATGTCCAAGCAGGTTGAGCAGATGCGTGCAGAAATACTGGCTCTGCAGGCAGAGAACCTGCAGCTCAAGGCTCAGTCTTTGAATGAGAGCAAGGCGTCGGTACGATTCTCTGTGGCAGTTTTCAATTATTGTTGATACTTTCTGGTCGGTGCGCTATTTCATGAAATATCAACGGAAATTCCGAAATGCGTTTTCGTTTCGAAAAGATTAATTATGTAGGGTTGTAAAACTAATCAGTCTGCAGTATAATTCTATAATAATTCATTTATCTCACGATGCCGGCTTTCGAAAGAACTTCATTTGGCTTCATATAAAAACCCTACCCTGTAAAAAATGACTACTTAAGCAGCATGGATTTTTCTCATTGATTTTCGAGGCCTCTAAATGTCTGATTATATTTCATGAAAAATATGCATAAAAGTATCCATTCTTTTGCTCATTCGGTAGGAAATTACGTCTTCTTCCAATCCCATACTCGAAGGAAGGGCATAATTTGGTTTTCAAAAACATTTCCATTTCCCGAATAATTTTGAACCGGACCTGCCGTTACACTTGCATTCTGTGTATCAAACCCACAAGCCGTCTATTTTCCGCGTACGGAAACCCATACATTTCTCTACGGTATTAAGAGCAGATCATAGGGGGTTTGTAAAATTTGCATTGGATTTGACCCATATTTTTAACTTTACAAGCCACATTGGTAAATGCAGAGACGTGACGTTTAATAAACGGCCATTTCACGGTATTAAAATGTCTAACAATGAGAAACTTTTAAAAAACGAATAAGGACCCCACTTCGAGTATGAAATTGGAAGAAGACATAATTTTCTACCGAATGAGTGAAAGAAAGAATATTTTTATGCATGTTTTCTATGAAATATAATTGGACTTTTAGAACCATAGAAAATCAATGAGAATAACCCATGCTACTTAAGTGGTCATTCTTTACAGAGTATGGTTTTTATATACAGCCATAAGGAAGTTCTTTCAAAAGCCGGCATCGTGAGATAATTGCAGACTGATTAGTTTTACAACCTAACTTAATTAATCTTTTTCGAAACGACAACGCATTTCGGAATTTCGGGTGACATGTCATGAGTTAGCCTACCTACTGTACCTGTCGAAAACCATGTAATCGAATAAGAATCTTCCGGTTTTTCAGTGGATTCCAATGAATCTGACCCTGCAAAATGCTCGTGGAATGAACGATGCCTTCTTTACTTCATTTAGGCAAATGGATACCGACTCTAAGCATAACTAATTATGGCTGCGTGGTTCATAAACCTGCTCTTAGCTTTGCCTGGACGTGCAATTCCACATCTGCCATTCAAATATTTATTTCTTGTGACTACGTAAGCGCTTTGGTGTCTGTAGTGTTGGAACTCGAAGACAACATGAAGAGGCTCATTTGTGCCCAACAATCAGGTTAGGTCGGTGACCGTATTAGACAACCGGACGGCTCCTAGACGCCCAGGTCGTAATTATGTTTGACATAAATGTTCAAAGGCCCTCTAGGCTTGAGATCTAACCTGGGGTGCACTATAATCTGGAGTCAGCCATGGATTCCTGCTGACAGAAAATATGCCAGAAACGACCATTCATGCGTCTCCAGTTAGTGACACCTATTGATTATTTATTGACAGTCTTGATAAAACTGCTAATCCTTTACTGAATGAATCTCTGAAATGTCCCCACGAGCTGCTTTTCGCAACATACGTATTTAGACCTATTTGGAGAACGGTCAGCATCGTAACCTGAGACTACTCCTTCGGACTTTTCTCTACAAGCAAGACTAAGCGGAGGCCTTAAATATCTATTCGGTAGTCTAATTCCTCTCTTTATGCAGTTGCAATGAGCACATTTTCATGTTCTCAAGACCCTTCCGTTCATCTCAGATTTGGACCTGTTTGGCCCCTTGTAATCAATACCTAAGATTTGGGTGAGGTCCGTCGTCAATGGATTTGCGTGAATAATTATTCGGAGTTCCTAGCTATCTGGGCAAGTAAGACAGCAGCTACAGTGAGTGACCGATCTCATGAAATGTTGACAAAAATTCTGAAATGCGTTTTTGATTAGGAAGGATTACTTAGGCGCCGTTGAACACTGATTATCCCTCGGCATAATCCTATGATATTTGGACTCGGCAAAATGTCGGCTCTTGAATGAATTTCTATTCAATCTCCTGGTAAAAATAGGACTACTTAAGTAGCATGAATTTTCGTACTGATTTCCCATGGTCTAAGAAATCCAAATATGTTTTATAGAAGATATGCATATAAATATTCTTTTTTCACTTATTTGATAGCGAATCACGTTAACTGAAGAAGGAATATGTTAAGCTTTTAAAAAAGTTTCTTATTATGAGATTTTTAAGACCCTGCAATGTCCATTCATACAGCATCGTACCTTTCCTTTTGCCAGCGCTTATCATGAAATGTACAACATAATTCGCATCCATTGCAAAATTTTATGGACTTAATATGGCATCTTCTTAAAGGCATAGAAGTAGGTACGGTTCTCCTTACGCGGAAGACATGCAACTTGTAAACTAAAATCACTAGGCGCTAATGCAAGGGCTGATCAGGCTCCAAATTAATTGAGAATTAGAAAACTTTCTTAAAACCTAATTATACTTCTTCTACAAGTATAAAATATAAAGCTAACGCGATTTTCTATCAAGTGAGTGAAAAAGAATATTTTTATGCATCTCTTCTATAAAATATATTTGAATTTATAAGACCATCGAAAATCAGTGCGAAAAATGCATGCTACTTAAGTAGCCATTTTGTCGGAGTAAGGTTTCTACAGGAGATTGAAAAGCATGCTTTCAAAAGCTGACATCCTGTCCAGTCCGTAATATTATAGTATTATGCCAGGGGATAATCAATGTTACAACGGCACCTAAGTAGTCCTTCCTAATCAAAAACGCATTTCAGAATTTTGCTCAACATGTCATGAGATCGGTCGCTAACTATAGGTGTTTTCATTGGCGGCGGATCACAGCTAGCCGGTTCAACGAGGACGGGACAGGTTGATTGAAACACTGCATCATTCTGCTACTGTAGTTGGCAGCAATTGGAAAGGCCAAAGTGCTGCATGCGGCGGAAACCCGCGCACGGGAACTGCAGAATCGTTGCGAGCGTCAGGCTGAAGAACTGGAGAGTCTGCGCCGAAGGCTCGAGTTTGCCGAGGCTTCCGCAAGTCAGGAGCAGCACGCACGTGACGAGCAAAGCACCTCGCTGACTGCACAACTGACGGAATGCCGGACGGCACTGGATGCAGCGAGAAAGGCTGAAAAGCAGGCAAGTAAATTCCTCATTCATGTTCTGCCCGTAGTGGGAAAAATTACTGTGCAGTCAACCTCCTGGAACCCACAGCTGTTTCGGGATTTGCTCGAGATGAACACCTCTTAAGAGAAAACTGGGGGGGGGAAGTAATTGCAGTCAGTGATCGATTTCTAGAAATGCAATTGAAATGCGTTTTCGATTTGGAAACTCGTAGTTATGAGACTTCTTAAAACCGTCAAATGTCCATTCAAGTAGCATCCTACGAGGCATGCAGCATAGTCCACATACACTTAAATGTCCATCCAAGTGGCATCGTAAAAGTCTGGGGCATAGCCCGCCTCCATTGCAAAATTTTATGACTCCGACTTGGTAGCTTCTTAATGATACTGAGGAATGCGTTTTCAGAGCTGAAAGATACCCTTTCTTCCAGCATAAAATTGTAGAGGGATGTGATTTGATATAAAATAATTGCAAAAAGGACATTTCTGGTTATATTTTCTATAAAATGTGTTTGAGATCAAAAAGTCACCAGAAATCAGTGAAGAAAAACGCGTACTGCTTAAGCAGCCTTTTTCACTGAGCGCAGTTTTTGCAGGCTGTGTGAAAAAAATGCATCTAAAATTCGGCATTCTGGTATGACTTAAATATATTCGGATTATGTTGCATGACTATCAATAATACAACCCAAATTAAGCAATCCTCTCTAACTGAAGACTCATTTTAAAATTCCGGTTAACATTCCATGTGATCAGCCACTGATTATATTTAGTGAGTTTCAGGTGGATGATTTTTATTCCGGACAGTAACCACTGTCCGATTTGCCTTCTCTAATTATTCTGAGTATACAAAGTCTGTGGGCGAATCTGCGTGGGACTATTACTCTTAGAGTATGACTATTAGTCTGTAAAAGACAAACTAATGGATGCTTTTTTAAAATAAAGGAGAAACTATAATTCCAGAAGACAGGTGCCTTCTGTAAGATTTCGGAGTACGCAGACTGACAGTTAGAGGCCGCTTATTAGATATTCTTTTGGTAATAAGGAATGATACATAACAATATTACTCATACAAGTCAGCTGAACTCATATTCTGCAGCCCCAGTAAGGCTATCCAGGTTCCACGGGCGAAGGATGCCTTGCCATTGTACGCCACGTCAAATTGTGTTTCCGAATTCACATGCCCTTGTGGATGCAAGTGCACTGGGCGAACGCAAAGGCAATTGGCAGCCAGGTCAGCTGAGCACCTGCCCAAATGGCTTCTAAAGCAGGAGAATAAAATTCCACGGTCTTCTATCACAAAACCCCTCCTCGATAGCGGTCATTCGGTTGACCCCAAAACATCTTTTCGAGTATTAGTTCGAGCACTAACAACTCGGTTATGGCGCTACTTGGAGGCAGCCTACATACGACGGGAGAAACCTGACCTACGTAAACAGTTAGACCACGTGGTCAACCTCATCTTGCCCTGGTAAATCTGGATTCTTTCGATTTGCGCAATCCCTCCGCGTGTTAACTTCTCCATTTTCTTTCCTATGTTGCGTTCTCAAGTTACCACTTTATTGATTAGCCTACTTACATTATACGATGTCCATTATGTTTATATTGGTTTTCCCCGTGGAAGTTCAAACCTCTGTATCTTTCTCCCTTGTTATCTGTGCTATGCAACGACAGGCTGCAGTTGAGAAGCCGTCGCGAAATGTATTGGCTTCAATAACTTCTGCTGTTTATGCTTGCTTTAAATTCGTTCGGGGGAAATATTGCTCCAAAATATTATACCAGACAAATTTTCTTATCAGTTATAAGTGTGTCTTTTTCTGGAGTGCGGCGCTGTGAAACTGAATTGTATTTTAACAGATGTAGCTAGCTTTTGCCGTTTAAAAAAGCGGGTTTTGCACAATAATATCGGACTTTTTAAGAAGATAGCTTGGTTCTTTGTGAGAACTTTTATCCCTTGCAAGTACCATACGTATTTATCAAAGTTAAGCGATTCCGCCGACCTCGGTGCACAGGGTTCTATGAAGGGTCAGCTTTAGGAAATTATTAAATGACATGAAATTGCTGTAGTGCAATCTTTTTATACCTTTTGCTCGACATGCCCATCCTTCGTGAAGTAAGCTGCTGGTGAAAGTTATGCGAATCCATAAAGGATGACCGAGGCCTTGGTCAAGCCCTCTTGATCAGCTGAGAGCAGTTAGCTTCCTCAGCGAATTCTTAATTAATGCATAGATCCAATGCTTATAAGGGTTTTGAAAACTGCGTCTAGAAAATAGAGGCATTGAGTGTTTGTAGCATTTTGATAGCTCTCGACTGCTGGCAGCTCCTCGGATCACAATGGAAAACAGTTCCAGTGTATTTAATTACACAGTTGCTCCGCAGTTATTGCATATCTCTGAGTACTCCACATCAAAAATGCGTGCCCAGCGTATAATCCGTTTCTACAGTTTCTCTATGACGCTACTTCATTCCCACAATTTAAGCTTTGCGTAGGGATCCTTAAGAGTTGCAATTCCTTCTGCTTTTTATGAGTAGCAACAAGAATGCAGGTCGCGAGAATTTGACGCAAAGAAGATGACCTTTCGATGAGCTTTACCACGGCGGGATCGTAGTAAATATACAGCTCCTTGTAGTTTCTCGCTTGGAAAACCACGAACGTTAAACAGACAGGCTTTCATGCGAAAATTTTAAGACTGAAGTTGGCAGTCGTGGTATTTCATGACTTGGACATAACTCAGAAAAAATGCCGAAAAGGAATTTTAGTTGATTTCCAGGATGGGTTAAACATTGAGGACATTTGGTGGCATTGGCTTCTGCGCGATCAGAGGCTACTTTTCCGTATTTCTCTCTGACCAGATGGGAACTGCTGCACTGTTTCCACTTTGCAACTTGACGATTTAGCCCAGTACGTATTTCTGAGAGAGCATACGTTTTGTTATATGCTGTTTTTGCGCTTGTCAAGCGTACCTTTAATTTGGCAGAACGTTTAGTGCTACTTTTTATTATTTATGATAAGTATGTGACCCTCCTTGAGGCAAAGCTTTAGTTCAAAAGAAATGACAGCAAGGATGTTCTTCGAATTTGCAAATTTGTGGTGTTCGTTGTGCGCAATTTGGCATAAGCCATTTTTACTTTTTAACGCAGACTGACAAGCAATCTCTAATCCGAGTCTCCTCATAATTCCGCCCCCTGTTATTTCACCACAACTTTGAACCGACTTTCAAGAGCCACGGAGTTTAGAAATGCACAATTTATTATCTGCGCTTAAAGCTTTGCACCATACGTGCTGAAAACTCTACTCTGGCACCATTCTGGAGGGAACTGAGATACGGATGTTTGTCCTCATTCGGCCTCACCGTCGCTTATTACATCCTTTAAGCCGCTCGCGCGTGATTCCACCAATCGGCGGCGCCGCCGCCAGTTTACGCGCAGCCTTGGGACTCTGAGAAGACATGTTTCTATGCGGTTATTTGCCTAAGTTGGTGCGATAAACTGGTTGTAGATAGAGGCAGAGAAGGGGCGGAGGGAGGGGCTGACTTCAGTTGCGGCAACGTAATCCACCCCATCTTAGAAGTTATGCGAACATTAAATTTATTTGATTTTTGTCCTATAGAGCGGGTTGGGGTGGCCGTGGCCGTGGCCGTTCAGCGCTAGCAGGCAGTGTGTGTGTGTGTGTCAAAATTGGCGCCAGCGGTCTGCGTGTTCTGTTGGGCCACGCGATGTCATTTCATTCTTTAATGCCAACTGCATCCGTCAACCCCCCTGTTCTTCACAAAAACACTTACAATTAACGCTGTTTTATCCCGCTGTCTCTTTAAGAATTAATCACCACCGGAAATTCGCTAGTGGATGAGAGAACCTACGGGAAATGCAAATTTATTTGCGAAAGAATTAACTGCAGGAAAAGTGCATGCTTATATCGTCTGATTTAACTGACTCTTTTATATTTTGCGAAATAATCGGCCCTCAATATTTATAACTTGGGAGGCGTTTCAATTAATTTACCCAAAGTGGAGTCCAGTCGAACATGTGATAATTGAATAACTGCACGAAGGCCCTTCGCGTGCGGGCATTGCGGCATTGCGGGCTAGAACTTATGGGGTTGCTCAGGAAGCGACCTCTGAATAGAATGGTCGGATTCAGCGTTAATTATTATAGACTATGGGAATGTGAGAATCATCGAGCCAACAACGTTTGTCATAAACAGGCGGAAAATCTGACTGGTCGGCTTTCTCATTTTCAGAGCGTTCACTGATAAATATGGTCTCAAGCCATCACATAATGCAATAGTCATGAGTTGCTGACAAATTAAGGTCACAGTGGCCCAAAGTAAAACATTTTATCGGGGAATAAATTGACTAATATGCATGTATGAGTGACTGAGAAAGAACTGATACAGGCTCGACACTATCGTCTCCCAGCTCCTTAGAGAATGGTGGTTTCCCACTTTTCGTCCACTTCAACCACCTCGATACTTCATCATCTGGTGTCTTCCTGGACTTTAGAAGGTAGAATTTGGTGTGACTGATGCTCAGGTCAGAACCCTTCTTGCAATCAACGTATTACTTTGTTGTTCATTCCCGAGAGCTAATTCAAAAGTCGTATACTTGTGTGATGATCGCCAAATTGCATCGATGGGGGAATTTCTCCTCGCGTGGGAGTCACGATGACAGATCAGTTGTGCTTAGAAGAATGTCCGCCAGATTCTTCCGAAAACCTACCTAAAGCTTGCCGATGAGGGTAGCCTGGATATCTTTTCTGCGACAGGACAGCTTACAGCCCATTGAGTCACAAAAGACAGCTTACCATTGCTCCTAAAATTTATCCGCTTTGGCGATAGTCTTGCTCGCTGGATCTTGCTGCTTCTGATTACTGACTGTTTCGAAATTCTGGAATGATACCTAGTACGCGGAGCCTGTAAGGAGGTCTTTTTACCGTTTAACAGCAGCTTAGTTTTCTAGCAACAAACAATCGTCGGACTCATCAGCCTAAAAAGTACATCGAAATCGAGGACATTACGTAGAAAAGTGTTGGCTTTTTCGCAGAAAAATCGAAAATTAAAAATAAGATTAGTTTCGCGATTAACAGAGTTTGTAATTTTCTACTTCATTTAATGAATTACCTTTTAAACTGAGCACCGCACCAGATTTCCCGTTTACTTCGACATCATTAAGATTTTGTTATGTAAATATCGTCTCAACTTTTCAGTTGTGACTTTCATAGCATGTACTGACGTCTCCACAAAATTCATAAGGATGGACGTTTTCTGCACTTTAGTGAGACACAAAATCAAATCTGCAGTAATCAGGCTGAATATTGACCGTAGCTGTCGCAATTATGTTCTCCCATGTCTTACTGGGTAGCGTTCGTTTTTCTTTACTGGGGGCAGTATGTTCAGCAGGGTATGCCGGTTAAGCACGCGCGGGCAGTCGATCTCAGTCGGAGGCATCGACAAACTCCGACAACTCCGACAACCATCGAGTGACCGAAGTCATCACATCAGTCGGCCTGGGGATGATTTCATGTCTGACAGGTGTAGTAGAAAAGTTCTTTCCAGACATCAAACTTAAATTAGTTTAAGAGTGAACTGGTGTGTGTAGGTAGCTTAATTTTCTCTGGATTCGACTCGTTTGGCGTCTCCATATCATACCTATCAGTCTGCGATTAGTCCGTCCGCAATATAGTTGGATGGTTATTAAGGAAAACCTTTCGCTAGGTACCGCGTCGATTCCGATAAGTCGGCGCGTCGGTCTCCTTTGACATCAATGGATCATCAGTCCTAACAGTATAAATGCGAGTCCGTGATAAAAATATCGTTCTATCTTTGCGATTGTTGAATGAGGCTTTTTGAGGGAAAACCTATAGGCTTCTCTGTAAACGATGTTTACCTAAATTCTAGGTTTTGTTCCTTCTACGATTCCGTTAACCGAATCCTCGTTTACGCAAGATTTTGGTCTTTTCCTTTAGCTGGTAGAGTTTCGATCAGCCGTGGCTAGGACGGTGGGTTTGGACTGTGAACAACTGGCCATCCCGGATGTTGAAATTCTCTGCCATCTGGAACAAATTATGAGCGCCGAATCATAGAGGAGCATGCGATTCAACTCACACTAAACGGAGAACAGTCTATTCTTGCTGGATAGGTTGTGCTATCAAAACCTCAACTTTCTAAGTACGGTTTTCTTGGAAAGAGCATTTATTTAAATTTGCTAAAGCTACAATAAATTCTAAACATAATCGAAAAACTCAGAGTGAGATTGTTGTCTTGGTATCCTGGAAGGTTGAGTTAACTTTTTCTGAAAATTTTTCATTGCTCACATCTCATCTCTTTTGTTCTCTTGGGCAACCTCTACCTCCCTACCGTAAATATCTAAGCGAAGAAGACAGGTGTAAATTCTTCTCCGATAGGTAAATGACAGCGTTCTCAGATGACAGATGTCGTCGACAGTTCTACAGTCGTGACCGACGATGTCCACCATGTGTTTCACACAAGGGCGCGAGAAGGAACGGTGACTTAGGCGGGATGGCAGACTTGCGCAGCGTCTACCGCACTCTCCCCTCCTCCCACCCGAGCCCTGTGTCGGGACAGAGTCAAGAAGACCGGAGGCGGGAGAGGACATAGGCGGGTGGCGCGACGAAAGCCCGCACCTAGGCGTACCACCACACCCGCTGGTTCACGGTGTACATTGAGCGGGATTCTATACCGCAATGCACATAGCGGGCGGCCGGATCCCCACTGGCGCTACGCGGGTCCGCACCTGGGCGTGCCGCGACACTCCGGTGTTGACATTTGTTATTGATGTGCACCACCAATAATGCCTACCGGAGCCCGATATAGACTCTACGTTCGTCCGGCGCATCCGTCGCGTGACCTGTTTTAGAGAAAGTTATGGATGTCATAAATATGCATAAACCTACCTGATGGGCTGAGTGCGGAACAAAAGACATGCGTGAAACTATGGTCAAATGTGTCCCGCTCTATTGCTGCGAAATTAGGTCTCCATGGATTGCTGAGTTGAAGGTTATGTAGATTTTTCACAGGAGGAGTCGCAGGAGAGTGATACGACTCTGACTAGCGGATTACGTCGCGAAGGCGAGACTCTCTCGTAAGTCGGGCAAACCCCCGCCGTAGAGACAGTAAATGGTCACTCAAAGTGGAGTTAACTGGGACGTTGTCCCTCCGCATTCCTGGTGCATCCACCATCGTGGCGACCAGTAAACACGACAGATGTTATTAAGCTAGATCTAGAGAGGAATCTGGGTCTGATGGCCTTTGGTGGTGATTGCTGAGCCTCCGGCATGCAATCTTAGAGCATGGATCGCGCTGGTTCGCGATGCCGTTCACTCTGGAGCCAACAAAGCTATAATTGCCGGTACCTGCTTGTTGTACAACGGTAAGCACTGTGTACGAGGATAGCATAGAAGAGTGTAGCGTGCCACGTACTACTGGCACGGAATACTATCCAGACATGTGGCCTGACCCGGCAAGAGGAAGGAGTGGAGAATCAACTACCGGGACAGTGAGAGAGTAGTCACGTGGCCCAGCAGCTCACCCTTCTCTGGTATTCCCGTATTACGGCGAACACTGAATGCCTTAGGCGATAGCCCTCATCACACAGAGGAGGACGTTGTTCACCAGGTGATTTGTCACCGAACTTATTCGTCGTCAAAAGCCGCTCCTACATGAGCTCAGTTCACAGAACTACCAGCTGTCTTGTGTGCGTCCGATACAATTCTCTTCATTTTCTGCAATCGCTGCCTAACAAAGCAGTGCGGTAGAACCCGCATTCCTTAGCTGTCTAGTGCTATACAACGGAGATTGACGATTGGCGCCACCGTGCGACTCTGAGTAATTCCGATGGTCGCTGACAGTGCGCGAGCCCACATCCCAATGGTAAGACGTTTAACTTAGTGTTTCATAGTTAAAAAGTCCCAATAGGAACTCCGCGTAGTAATCCAGAAATGGCTACCTCAGTCCCTCTGTATTTTGCAGTAACACTTCTGGATCGCTGATTACTCGTCACCATGCAGCCGCCATTCATGTCTAGATCTAGTGCGTTCCGGGCAAAGAGCAAATCCTTGTTCCGCCATAGTTTATACTAATCAACACTGACTTTCAAAAAACGCTTGGAACAGACCCCTCGTGCTGATGAATGTATAAGAAAGTTTTAAAAGCAACTCTTCCTCGTGGGGGTTCAATAAATGGCACGTTAGTCATCTAAATGGGCCATCTGTCCCTCCTGGCGAAAACCGATGTTATTTTAGGTGCCAGAAAAACTGCTGGTGCATTTGGTCCCGAAATTCCAAGTAGACCGGACGATAACCAGCAGAAGAATTTGGATCTTGGAAAAAAAATCATGGCAACGATAGGGTGAATGACCCCAACTGGCTGTCGGTAGGCTGTGGATCGTGTGCTGATGTATGTACCTGCGAAATCGAGTTAAGTACTGATGACTGGCAGTTGTAACCAAGAGCGGACAAGCAAAGAGCAAAGATCGACTGAGCACGGATCCAGGAACAACATAAATGTCTGCCAGGGAATAAGCTCAGTTGTTCGATGATCAGGCAGTCTTTCAAAATGGAGCGCCATGGAATATTCAGCTGGATACAGTCATCAATTTTTTCGAAAGTATCGTTTTTGCCGCTGACCGTCTTCTGTGGTTTCCTGAATTCCACCAGCTCACTCCCCGGCGTGCCGCCCCACCCGTAACCCCCCCCCCCCCACTACCACCATTCCCGTATGACACGATCCACAATATGCCGACAGCTAATGGGGGTTCTTCACTCTACCGTTGCCAAACTCATAAAAAAGTAGGCTTATACCAATGTTTTGTGATAAGCGGGAGGGAGAAGTTTGGAGGCCTCCATGGGGTCCCAACTGGTGGTGCCTGACAAGAAGGAGAATATTTAATAAGGATGAAAGTGTTGCCATGTAGCAGTAAATTCACAGTTAGGGAGGGCACTTCTCCTTACACCGCTGAAAAAAAACAATGCGTTAGCCTTCAAAAAATCTCCAGCAAAGCTATCTGACCTTTTGAATGAGCTTTACTGGTGGTAACTAAAAAGGCACGTTTTCACACTGGAAGACGCGCTAAACGTCGTGGCCTGGGAGTTTACCGACTGATGGCACAACTCAGACCTCGGAACTAACCCGGTGTGACTTTTGCGGACTGACCGACTTGTGTACTGAGCTTCGAGATGCAAGGGCTCCTCCCTAACCATGCCTTTATAACACCCCCACGCATGTGAGATCAGGACTGTCCGCCCCCTTCTTATGAAATCCCGGTGTGTTGTGCGGGGGTCAGGCCATGTATTTGGAGATTTGTATATGCCTTTATTCTCCCCTTTATTCTTAATTTTTCACTGTTTATTTTTTCTACCTCGCTTGCTTCGAATGTGCAGTTCCTTTTTGACAGTCATGGAATAATAGACGACGTTGCTATGGGCTCACTTCTTGGTCCTTCATTAGCCAATGTGTTCACGGACAAGTTAGAGAAATTTCAAATAAACGGCCAGATTACTAGGCTAGGACATTACAGTCGCTACGCTGATGACATCATCGCAACAGCCACCACAGAAGCCAGCATAGCTACCCTCTTAGATGGTGTAAATCAGGCACATCCGTCAATCTTGTTTACGGCTGAAATGGAAACGTCTAGTTCGCTCTCCTTCTTAGATGTCCTTACAAGCAGAAGAGTTGACGGTAGCGTTTGATGGGACGTCTATCGATAGAAAACTTGGTCTGGACAATATGCAAACCTCTACAGTTTCGCACCCCTTCAAGTGAAACGCAATCTAGTCTGTTGTTTGGCGCGAAGGGCTAAAAGAATCTGCTCGGCAGGCAGTGGGAACGAGTATCCCGACAAATTTATTAAGAAGAATATCACGAAGACGCTTGAAAAACCCATCAAACTTACAGCAGAAAAGAAAACTGTTTCTCGGACACAGCGAATGAACTCTTGGTACGACGCCTTGACCAGGCTGTTACATGATTCCTCCTGGTGGCAAGAGATGGGTATTAGTCTCAACCATACCCGTTTTACACAGAGAAGGTAAGGATAGATTACTCGCTCAGACCATCCGCGTGTGCATTTACTCCTTTGCTTGCTCCTGTGGGACAGGATATGTTGGCGCCTATCCAATCATTGACATGTTCGGCTGTATCCCCTTCCCATATAATTGTACTGACCTGAGGAGCATTTAGCAAAAGCAACTTATGCTCGCCAACTCGTCTTCTGAATACGGGAACACTTCCCGGTCCGACTGAGAAGACGCACATCCGAGACACAACATAATTATCTGCTTGCACACATCTTTTATCCATTATTTCAATAGCGACATAAATGTACAGGCCTGAAAAGAATTTATCGAAGGCAGACGCACATATTGTTGGTTCCGGGCATCACGTGGACCCAACAAAGTCCTCCGAGTGATTTACTAGGTCCCACCGTACTATCCTAAGCCACTGCGTCAGCGTCTGCTAGCAACAGCAGAGGCGATTGCAATCAGGTTACGAAAGGCGGTCTTGTGCGCACAGAAGAATCTGGTACAAGCTACACGCCTACCGTGGCCAATGGTCGGTTAACTGCATGCATTCCTCTGCGCCCTATCCCCTTCCTCCTGGCTCTCACTGCCTCCTAACTCGCTGTCTCTGTCTTCTCTCTAGCCCCGATTCTCACACCCCACTTGTATGAAAAGACGAACTGCTGTCGCTTTCCCCTTTCACTCATGTTCTACTTAAACCTCATTCCCCGAGCCCCGTGCTGGTCCTATGAGGATTCCTTGACAGCATACGTATGTTCGCCAAATGGTCTTTTAAAAAAGACAGCATCTTTTAAAGATGTGCTCCCTTCTTTTTAGCCGATACTTTAATATAATGACATTTCATAACGGTCGAACAATTTTCTGATCGGATTCTGGCTGATGTTACCTATTCACTTCGCCCTAAATAATGGCTGCGAAGCCTTTCCTTTCCAGGCGCCGTGACATACCGGCATACCACCGTCTCTGACACGATACCTAACGAGTAAGGAGACCGAAATATAGAACTTGAGTCTCGATGTGTCTCCATAACCGTGTTTAGTTTAACCCATTAACCATCCTATTATCTGTTAGTGTGCATCCTTGTCACGAGAATGTAAGGCGCTTCAGTGGATACTTTAAAAGGTACTTTCGCAATAGAGCGTATCCCTCTCTCATTTCCTCCCGCCTCCCCCCCTCTTTCCCCCCTCCCTCCCCCTTTCTCTCTCTCGCCCAAAAGCCTACTGTCGCAAACTGTCATCCGACTGACGTCACAAATTACGTTTTTCGAAGGCCGATAATGCTACCAAGGTCCGAGTGATCTGCCTGTTATCTGCGACGGCTCTCGAGACGGCAGACTACAGCAGGCACTTCTGGCTTTTTAATCGCCGTCAGTCGAATTTAAAATTAGGTTAAACGTAGTATTCAAAGCGGCACGATGATGGAGTTTGCCCATATATCGCTTATCTCCATCTTTTTCTGACTAGGCGCACAGTTGGAGAGACGTGTTGTGGAATAGTGAGATCTGCAGTAGCTAGTTCATCTCATGATATGTTAACCAAAAGTTTGAAACGTATTTTTGGATTAGAAAATATTGCTCGAGCGGTGTTGTACCATTGATTAATGTGCAGAATGATCCCAAAGATATTTCAGTTACGTCAGGTTGTCGCCTTTTGAAGAGCTTCTTTTCGGTTTCTTGTAAAAACCAGCCCTTTTATAAAATCCATGCTTAAAAACATCCATTCTCGCACTCATGTGGTAGCACATTAAGTCCTTTTTAACTTGTGTACTTGAGGAAAGGATATCTTTGCGTTTTTAAGCTTTTTCAATTTCCAAATAATTTTAGCCCGACCTGCAATTTATAAAATACGTTCTGTGCATTTTCCGTGCAAAGAAAAGTATACATTTCTCTGAACTACGAGGGAGACGTTATGTAGAGCTCATAAAACCCCCAATGAACGTAAACCATTAATAAACATGCAAGAGGAAGATCTCACGGTCTTCCAACACCATATAATCACATGCTTTTTTAAAACTGAAAGATACCATTTCTTCAAACATACAAGTTGCCACCAAATGACGGCAAGAAAGACTATTTTTTACAACTTTTCAGTAGAATAGATTTTAATTTATAGTGGAGTGGAAAATCAATAGAAAAAATGCATACCATTTCTACAGTGACTTTTGTCGTGTGTGGTTTTTGCATGTGACGGGAAAGAAGTCCATTCAGATGCTGGCATTCTAGCGTGGCGTTTTGCTGCAAGGTTATCAGTATTGCTATCCCCCCTAAGCAATCGTTTGTACTCGAAAACAACCTCCAGAATTTTGGTTAGCAAGCGTGGGCCCTCAGCTTCCGCAATGAGCTTTCTGGTATTTACGCACTGTGTTTTCAAATCTGAACCTTTTTATTTTTTTCGGAAAATAATTTGTGTACATGAAGTAAAGACTTCGAATCGAGTCCTCTGAGGTTCGTTCCATGGGTTGCTTTGAGTGTTTGGGCTGAAATTCATTCATTACAGCTGAATAACCGCGTCATGTTCACAGTCTACCAATACAGTCAGTAGTCTATAATTATGACATGACGCTGATTTATTATGCTTTTTGTAGCATAATCTCTGTGTTATCGTATACTGCTGAGTACCCGCTGTCAGATTAGGAATACTGCTTAAGCATTCCGTTGAAGTTGATGAAACTAAGCTCATTCATATATTCATATATACATCGCAAAAGCGATCGGGGAGCGCCCCCTACCATTGTATATTCCCGATCGAAAACCGACAGGGCAACGGGCTCGTGGGCCAGTGTTTAGAAGCGTTGGACTTCTGACTAACAGGTCTCGAATTCGAGCCCCTGAGGTTGCACACCTCGGGATTGGGTATGACTGGCTAACGACGAATAATAAAGCAGAAATGGCCATTGCAGTCTCCCTTGTCTTTGTTGGTAATAACATACTGCCTATATCATGCGCCGCTGAGAGGCTGCTGGTTGGACTCGAGAGAGAGCCCGTAAGGCACAACGGAACGAGTGAGTTCCGTAAGAAAGATCGGTGAGCGTCCCCTACCATTCATACAACCTTTCTGACTGCGCCTTGAAGGACCTATTCCGAGAAGTTCACGCCAAGCTCACGGCTTAATTCCTGATGAAATTTAAAAGCCCAAAATGCAACCCAGTTCTTAACCAAATCGTAATCTAAATTAATTTTCCGGTATGCTCGTTGTCAAACCGTCGCGGAACTCTGCCCATGTGCTCCTAAATCGCCTATATTCAGTCGCCTGGCAGTCGGAAGTCCTAGGTTTTGTCAGCTTCGGACCACTGGAAGCCAATGTTGAAATGTGTTTGCTTGAGGTCGGACGGCAATAATCAATTTCCTGGAGCTTCCTGAATCAGTAATCACCACGCCGACGCCGTCACTTTACAGGAAATTAGATGAAACCGGATACATTGAAGAAGGGGGGAGGGCGCGTTAACGCACCAACCGAAGGAATTAAAAAATTGCGATCAAAGGCAACAACTACCGGTCCCTCAGTCTGCCAAGACAATTCCCAATGACCCGCCCGACCCGCAGTAAGCCTGGTCCGTCCACACGACTGTCAGCCTATTCATCTCAGAGGCGCGAACTGGGTCGATTTCGTTCTTCTGTCGCCTGCCGACGCGGGTTCTTTGAATTAATAACTTCCTGCTGAATGGATGTTTCAACTAACTAACTGCCTGTCTGCCCCAGGGGACGTGAATGACTTGCTAATCTTTTTTTTCTGCACCTGGTGCCTATCCTGTAGAAGCCGTACTCGGTGAACAATGACAACTTAAGTAGCATGCATTTTTCCCGTTGATTTTCGATGGTCTTATAAATTCTGACATATTTCATTAAAAAATCACGGAGAAAAAATGCTTTCTTTTACATAAAGACATAAAATAACGTCATCTTTATATTGCATGCTTGAAGATGGAGTATAATTAGGTTTTAAAAAAGTTTTCTGATTGCCGAATCATTTGGCGCCTGATCAGCCATTGCATTAGTGCTTAGTGATTTCAGTCTACAAGGTGCATGCGTTCCGTGTACGGAAAATCATATACTCTTCTATGCCTTGAAAAAGATACCATATAGAGTCCATAAACTTTTGCGATGGATGCAGATTATGTTGTACATTTCATGAAGAGCAGTGGTAAACGGACAGGTACGATGCTGTGTGAATGGACATTGCACGGTCTTAAAAAATCTCATAATTAGAAACTTTTTTAAAACCTAATTATACTCCTTCTTCAAGTATACAATATAAAGATGACGTGATTTTTTGTCAAATGAGTAAAAGAAAGCATTTTTTATCCATGTTTTGTATGAAATATTTTTGAATTTATCAGACCATCGAAAATCAACGGGAAAAATCCATGCTAATTAAGTAGTCATTCTTTACTGAGTACGGCTTCTATAGGAGGTCGAAAAGAAGGGCATTCAAAAGTCGACATCCTGTCGAGTCTGAAATGTTATAGGATTATGTCGCAAGATAAGCAGTATTACAAATCCACCTAAGTAATCCTTCCTGATCAAAAACGCATTTCAGAATTTTGTCTAGCATTTCATGAGATCGGTCACTCACTGTATATCACTTTCAGGAAAGTTCACATGAATGCGTGGAAGGTGCTACTGAGCTGAATTCACGCATGTGCTCTGGAAAACCGCAGAAGATCAGCGGGATAACTATATGACTTTCTTTTCTAGTATCTATTTTTAGAAGCCTGTTAAAGTCTATTTTCTGTGTATGACTCGAACATTTACTACTGTTACTTTCAGTGATTGCCCAAAACCTACAAGTTGGTTTGGACGTACTCCGGAGGAGTATGAAACTACAGTTAAACGATGGTTGCCTGAGCTTGGCATACTTATATACCACTGAAATGACGAGAATTTGTTGGGTTCACGAGGAGGTTTGGGTGAGTAGAGCAGTGCAGTGATATCTGTCAAGTACTATGATTGTGTAGCTATCGCTCGATTCACTCAGCAGACATCCATCCGGATTGCGGATGCTTCCTTTTCAAAAAGCTGCCATTGAACGGTAGATTCTGATTAACAGTAAGTCGATTCTGGTTTACTCTAGGTAATTTATACTGAAATAAGTTGCAGAACGATTCCCGTTCTGGTCTCGGATTTATAGAGTCGATAAGTCAGAATGTTCCCTTCGTTTACATTCCGGAACCCTACTGTGTCTCACTGAAAACTCAGAGGAGGGCACTCTGCGGGTAATTCACACTTATATCAGGATAGAGATGTCTCAGGCAGCGATATCAGCCTAATACATATTCATCCAGTAGTAGGTTTCATTACGCATGCGATGTTTCAAGTTTCTTAAGAGATAGTTTAGTTACTAGGCCCTCCATAGAAGATCCATTAGACTGTGTTTGTTGCCAGTGGTGGCTTTATTTGGAAATAATGAATTACCGACCAACTGAATCAGCAAGCGCAAGCTATTTTGTGACAATGTGCTAACAGTATCTTCTCCACTGATCACAGCGACTGTTGACAATTTTTGGCGGCTCACACTGGTGGACTTGGTGATCAGTTGCTCTGGGCGCGGATGGTGCAGCAGGGTGAAAGGAGGGCAGTGATGTGAAAAACATGGAATCCGGGGCCTTGAAAGTCGATTTAAATGCGGCTACCGCGGTATTTCCCGTCAGCCTCTTTCTTGCACCGCATTCGGGTTTCGGAGGAGGGAACTTCACTCCGCCGGACGAAAAACCAGCATCCACCGTGGAATGGCTGAAGGGGAAGTTGGCCGCCTTGCAAGTGTTCATTGGTGGACACTCGTCTCTGCAGGCTTGGTCGTTCGTAGCTTCGCCGGTTGGGTCTTTTTTTGAAAAACCAACCTTGTTACTGACTGCCACTGGCTGCACAGATTCAGCGTTTGATCCGGTACCGTCCTGCACTTCCGTCCGAATTCTCTTGAATTTTGTGCGTCTATTCTGGAACCAGACCTTCACCTAGATTAAGAAGAAGAGTTTTTCCGTCATCGACGCATTCTGCAACTCTACAGACGGTGAGTACTGCCCTGTATTATTTTGAATCTACGTGCACACATCACCAGCTTCTTAAATTTTATAAATTAAGTGAATGAATTTCACGAAAGCTTGGGCAACTATTTTCTTCTTAAACGAAATTCTTCATGGACAGGATGGTATAGTATTTATGTGGTAAAATAAAGCTTATTTCATGCTTGAATTGCGTTCACCGATCAGGTTATGAGACATGTTCGTCCCATTGGGTCTACAGCCGATGAAGACGGTCACCTAGCGACCATGAATATATGCAGAATAGCATTGCCAACAAAGACAAGGGAGCATTTTCGGCTTATTAGCCGTCATTAGGCAGTTGTGCGGTACTTTGCCATAGCGATTCATTTAACGGAACAGTCCGTTCGGTCCTGTCACTGATATTTTGCAAAATGTGGAAAGCTGAGTACACTTGGAAGCTCCCATGAGGGCTCTATAGTACATTAGAAACGCCAGCCCTAACTGCTCCCGCCTCAACTGGTGGGCGGAGGAGGACACCGAGTACCTCTAATCCATCCAGTGCGTCTTCCACACCGCCTGTCCCAGCACATTCTTTGAGATTTAGCTTTGTCCCGTCCCGCTTGTGCTACCGCTATCGCCTTAGCGTGTGGATAAGTCAGTATTGCCCCGAGAACGTCCGGAGGTGCCCTCCCCTTCTCTGTTGCCCCCCTCACCTCTCAGCCACGAACATACCGGGGGGGGGGGAGGGGGCAGTCCGAGGATTTAGTGGGACAGCAGAATCGGACACTGGCAGATGTCAAGTCGGTGGCCGGATTGGACCACGCGCAGACTGATATGCAGACGGTGCTACTAGCCTACACCCCTGGCACGCAGGTGCGTGTGGTTTTTGTCCATGCGATACAGACTTAAGATACTGATTTCCGACTCTCACTCGCCAAGGTTCGTCCCCACATTGCGGGCCGGACGAGTCGCGTTCATAAAAAAGACACTAGCATGAGTCCGTCTGTCCACCTCCCCCCACGCGTAACGCGCCAACGCAAGCAAGGCGGCAGACTCGGTGGTAGTAGGCGGGAGATACACTAAAAATCTGCTCGGTCATGCGCCAAGCATAACCCGTACTCCATTTAAGTTCTGTGATGAGGCAAAGAGAGCACACCAATTACAGACTTTGCGAAAAGAAGAAAAATGGTAGACCCCACTTAACTGTCAGAAGACTTTGAATCGTGTCATATGGGGTTTTATCTTAGCACACATTTGCAGGCTGTTGCAGAAATTACACTGTCAACAGCGATTACTTCCCACGACCCCACACCTTAACTTCAAATCTGTTATTTTGAGAAATTTGTTTTTGTTTATTGGTTAATTACTATTCTTATTTCCGTGATCGTACAATAGCGTTGGATAAGACTTTCTGCATAAGTCCTGGCGATTTCCGTATCTGCTTTCATTTTATCAGCTGCGTGCTGTCCCACTCATAAAACTCCCTTCACCAAAAATCACGTATGACACGATCCACAGTTTAGTGACAGTCAAATGGGGTCCTTCTCTATACCGTTGCCGAAAAAGGATAAGAGACAGAAGAAGAAGAGGAGAAGAAGAAGAAGAAGAAGAAGAAGAAGAAGAAGAAGAAGAAGAAGAAGAAGTAGGAGGGCGAGAAGGAGGGACAGAAGGAGGAGGAAGCGGTGGAAGTAGTAGTAGTAGTAGTAGTAGTAGTCGTCATCGGCACATGTTTTTAGACTCTGGCGCTTAACACAACAAATCCGGCTGGAGAAGACAGGGATTGGGCACAGGAACAAGAAACCCCTGCACTATAGGTGACCTTGCACAAAGATCCGGGGGTAACTCTGCGCGTGCCCTAACTATAACCCTCCTAATCCAAACCCAACACTAACCCCTCAACATTAACCCTAGCCGTAACCCCTCAAAATAGGATGTAAGTTCACATGCCCTATCCAGATAGGACATGGTGATGGTCTTATTTTGCCGTGCTGCCTGGGAATTCGTTTTTTTAACACCCATCGGTGTAGCTTTCTAAATCGCAGTTTACAGACTCGGGCAGTCGTTAAGGAATGGGGTCAAAAGAACAAAACCCGCTTCCGTGTACAGAAAATGAACTTCTCTATCTGGCACAAGACAGCAGTCGTGCACCTCACCTGGGTCTCTGTGAGACTGAGAGAATCGGCCAGTTTCTTCCGCTCCTGTCCAACCACGTAGTGATTCGTCTCGAATGCATTCTCCAGACGAAGTAACTGAGACGGTGAGAAGGCTGTACGAATTCGTTTTGGTTTCCGATGCTGTCGAAACGGACTCAGCTGGAAGGTTGACTCTGAAAAGGTGGTTTGGCGTACATTTAGAAAGATAATATCCACTGTCTGCTTACTCTTCAACATTGTGTCTCGACTCAAGTGGGGCTGGGGCTGACGTGTACTTTCTTCATATTCCATAAATGTACACCCGCGTAGTCGGCTGGGAACATTAAGATAGAGGATATTAATTTACCACGCATTCAGATCCTCCTCTACAGAAGGGTCCAAGATCATCCAAGCACATCTCTTAACAACAGACCACGTACTCCTAACTGAGAGGAATCGAGCTTGAGCCAGCCGCTCTACTGCACCCTAGTCATTTCAATAAATTAGTCAAACGGGGCGCCGTCCGGTGTAAAAATATTAAATAGGAAGGCGAGAATCGCACTCAAATTAGGATTAAGTTAATTAGAAAGGCTGGGCAGGAGTAGTTTGTAAAAGGTGGGGAAACTCGGTAGCTCCATCTTTCGGAGTGTCTTTATTGCCAACCTGAGTCCAGTAGCACGCAAGCAGGGTGGAGGTGTGTATGGTTTGAATTCGGGCTTTCCTCTTCTGCTTGTGCACCGATCACACGGCAACTTCACATACACTTCTTTCAGCCTATCATCAACACTGACTGCCTGACTGTTTTCCTTCAGAGCACAAGGATAAGTACGGAGGAATCCACATCACTGTCGTCACAGTCTGAATGCCGACGGCATCTAATTGGGACACATGTTCAAAAGCCATCGATCTGAAGGGCACCGGCGGAGCCATGAGCCTGTGGATATGCCTCCTGGTCAAGCCTTCAACCCCCCCCTCCCCCCCAAGTGCAACTCCCAGGGCTCCTTGATTAGGTTGAAACATGCTCAGCTCTGTTTGCCGTCTCGAAACTGTCCATTTCCTTTACAAGTAGGCGCTTCTTTTCGTCACATGGGCCTTCACGACGGATCGACTTTCGAAGAACAGACCCTCGCAGCTGCGTCAGGTAGCGGCACAAGATCGGCGAAACACTCGTGTCTGGACTTTTAGCTAGTACCTATGTTGAAGGTACAGTAAATAATTACATAATTAAATAATTATGTAGACTATGGAAGCAAAGTCCTTGTCGTAGATGTGTAAAAAGTAACTGTACAGGTGGAACTGCTAGGAGTATTTCGTGCAGTTGTTAGGTTTCCAACTTCTGTTTCCAATCACGTTGGTCAGTCTTGGGTGAGAGGATCTATTGGTTAGGATAAGTTGTTAACGCATTTGGGGTAGTTCGCTGTGGCACCGAATAACGGAATGTCTGTTGAATTATTCTGTTCAGGGTCGCCTCTATCACTATCTCTCCCAGTTAAAACGGTGGCGATTGCACTTCTGTTCCACTTAATTTCACATCCGCAAAACCAAAAGCATGTCCTACTTCTGATGACAAGCAAATGGACTAAAAAATTAGCATCCCAGGCTATGGAAGTATGCTTAATATTAGTCGGTAAACTGCAGGCACATGGTGCCATAGGTGTTTTCATTCAGGTAATCCGGTAGTCATGATTTATCACGGCAAACAGTTTGTTAGCTAGAATGCGTTTGGTGGTTAACCCGACGTAAGGGCACTTCTGGTAATTCACTGTTGACGGTTGTCTCTCATTAGTCAACGGACTTCTTGAGAACTGATCCCTTATTGACTTTTTGTAGGTTCCTATGATTCGTTTTCAATAAACTCTATTCAGTCAAATTTTTCCACAAAATTTTGGAGCACTTTATGCCTTAAAACTGATAAAACTACGGGTTGTCGATAAGTCCAACGCCGGACTTTGAAGCCGGTCATAATTTGAAATTTATTTTGAAGCGTTGGCTCTGTCGGCTTCTCTTCTAGACGTCCATCTGGAATATTTTGACGATCATCTAATCGTAAAGAACGCTCTTTCAAATGGGCCACAAATTATACCTCAAATACCGTCTAAACAGCATCGTCAAAGAAGTTGTGTTCTAAAATGGCAATGAAACCCACCTGTCAAGAAGACATCACTCTCCTTCGAGAGATCGAACGGGTTTTCCAAATCTGAGTTGATTGTAAATGGTGGTTGGAAGGGAAGACAGATGTTTTCCAGAAAGTTCGCCGGTTCAGTTGGGGTATCCCCACTCAGTTGATTCACGTTAGTGTTGTAGTGTGCTTTGTTCTTTAGAGTCTCAAAACTGCAAGGCACTCCCTGGCGCCTATACAATAGAGGGGAGAGGTGGTCCTCTAGCAGGGATGCAACAGATCTGATCTTTTCGTCTAGACGCTGGTTCTGAGGACCTTGCTCTCTCGAGGCCATTAGCCGAACAAAAGCCCAGGCACTTTTGCATATCCGCAATACCTCTGCTCTATCCATACTCGGGCTGTTTAGAAGCGTAGGCGACAGAAGGCATTCGGGTGGCGATCCTTCAGGCTGGTTGGGCAGTTTGTTTATCCGCAGCACAGAACTCGGCGTCGAAGCCACCGCACTTTCACCTGCACCAAGGAGAGCATTTAACAGATGTCTCATCCGCCCCAACTCCGGGGTCGAAGCATCCCCCGTGGAGTCCTTCTCGACCACACTGGTGGACGACAAATCGGTTGACGTGACACTGACGATTTCAGCTAAGCAGCCGTCCAAACTCACTTCAGGTGGGTTTTGGGCTGGACACCGGTGGGCCAAAAAGTCAACAGGTCTGTCAAACTGGCCGGAGTTTTTGGTGTCCTCCGCAGACTGTTTCAGTATTTCCATCGAGCTACCGCCGGCAGATATCAGCTCCTTCACGGAGAAGCCGGGCATCGTCCTGGTGTGAGTGCTGCAGATTCTGGTCTCCCTGCTGCGTCTTCTGTTTGTCAGCACGATCGTCGCTCGTGTGAGAACGTTCACCACCTATGGTAAATTCTAATTCGCCATTCTGAAGCTGCCGCGGGACTACGTGCGCTGCGCCAACCCCCAGTCTCTCCCTCCCTCCCCCTCTCTCGCCCGCGCGTGAGCGCTAGCGAGTTCCTAATTGTCGCTGTCGCTAAAATAATGGTCTTCTTCACGCGTCCGACCGTTGTCGGAACAACGTTCATCCTCCCCTCGCCTATTCGCTCATTGGTCCGCCACAGACCTCGCGTATGTCGCCTCCGTCGGTGCGATTAGGGGAGGAGGGGGGGGGGGAGATGCACAACGAGAGCGGATAAGTGAGTGCCAAGTGAGTGTTCTCCCCACTGGCGCCACCGAGATGGTACACGCAATACACACAGAGGGGAGACTTGACAGCGCATAACATGCGAAGACTACCTCAAGACGTTGTTAGTCCTTCTGGGGTTCTCCTGTGTACATACGTGCCCGAACCTCTTCCTGTGGCACAATCGCGTGATCCCATCAATTGCGCGCCACAGATTTAATCGGACAAAATCCCGAGGTCCTGAACGGAGGAGAGGGAGGAGGAGGAGGAGGAGCAGTCGAATGCGTCTTTCTAACATTACTTATTGTGGCTATATACTTTTCCAGACAGAGAATTAGTCATAGGGGTCAAGGGGCCGGCCAGCTTTAACCATAACATCCTCTCAGTGTCTTTAGCAGTAGCAACCCTCGATGTCTGAGTTGAGTTATCTAGTGTAGCTGAGGCACTTTCTCTTACGCGTACCCCTCTCTCCCGAACTATCTTTCTTCAGGATGCCCACTAATTTTATTTGTTTAATCAATTAGTGGTGCGTATTTTTTCCCGCAAGGAAACTAGAGTTTGGGCTGAGACGGTTGGTGTTAAGGTTGGGGGCGGGGAGGGTAAGGATTAGGGTTAATGTTAGGACATGAGGGTAAGTACCCCTGAAATTTGGCGCTGGGCAACCCGTAGTACGGGGAGGATGCGAATTCCCGTACCCGATCAAATGTCAAAGTAAAAATCCTGCTTTTATCCTCTGCTCTTCAATATTGCGTACATTTGTCGGTGTCTCGTTACCATAATCTCCACGTCACCCAATTAGGGAATTAGGTTTCCTCGAGAAAAAAATAATGTTGGCCGTATTCGTTACTCATGGAAGAGAGTAGCAGAGAAAGTTCTCAAAACTAGAATATTTGCCCAAATAAAACCGGGAATCGGGGCTTCGGATGACAATTGATTAGGTCTAGCACTTTTTCAGGGTAACCTTTAAAGGAAACGTGATAGTTAAAGCTTTTAAAGCTATTGTGGACGCCTGGAAATACCACTTAATGTTGACCATATGATGCACTACAGATACGTTATCTGACGAAGTATTAACCAGAGTTCTAAAATGTGCTTTCGTTTATAAAAGATTACTTAAGTGGGATTGAATCATTTATTATCGTGCAACATAATCCCAGTATATATCAGTCACGCCATGGAACCGATCTTTGAAATCTCTTTTTCCCGACCGCCTGCAAAAAAACTATTTTCCGTAAAAAAATACTGTCTAAATAGTATAAAGTTTTCCCTTTCGCTTCGGATGCCCTCATAAAGGGAAATTAAAGCAAGCTCAAAATGTTCTTTCTTACACTACTTTGACAGTAACTGACGCTTTCTTTGAATTCTATGGAAGTAGAAAGAACATCTTTCGGTTTCAGAAAAGCCTTTTCAATTCTCCAACAGATTTGAGCCGGACTTGCTGTTACACTTAAACTTTTCCAAGCCACAAGCTATATATTTTCGTGTAAGGAGAATCATGCGTTTCTATAAGTTATTTTGAAGGCATAGAAAATTTTGTGGTGAACGTGGATCATATTTTATACTTTAATAGGAGCATTAATAAATGGACAGATACTGTACTTTCTGCATGGATGTTTCGCAGTCTTAAAGAATTCCTTAATCGCGGACTTTTTTAAAAAACCAACAGATGCCCTTTCTTCATGTGTAAAATTCGAAGAAGACGTCATCGGCGACCAAAGTTGTGCCAGAAAGAGCACTCGTGTGCCTGTTTTCATAAAATATATTTTGATTTTTAACGGCATTGAAAATAAATGGGAAAAATTCATATTATTTGAACAGGCATTTTGGCAGAAGAAAGTTTCTGCAGGCTGTCGGAAGGAAGAGGCTCCAAAGGCCGGCCTCCTGGCGTAATTGAAATACAGGAGATGGGCTTACTCATGAAATCTCTGCCGAAATTTCGAAAGTCGTTCTCGTTCCGAAAAGATTAATTAAGTACGGTTGTAAAACTAATCATCATGCAGCATAATTCTATAACAATCCGGTTACCTCAGGGTGCCGGCTATCGAATGAAATTCTTTCCGACTGCATGCAAGAACTATACTCTGCAAGAAATGCCTGCTTAAGTAGCATTCAATTTTCTCATTGATTTTCAGTGCCCTTTAAAATTATATTTTATGAAAAACATACATAGAAATATTCATTCCTTTGCTCATTCGGTAGAAATTAGCGTCTTTTTCCAATTTTAGTTTACGGGAAAGATTATAATTCGGTTTTAAAATGTTTCTAATCGTGCGATTTTCTAATACTGTGAAATGGCCATTCATAAAACGTCATGTCTCCGCATTTATTAATGTGGCTTGTTAAGTTAACAATATGGCCCAAATCCACTGCTAAATTTTATGAACCCCACAGGTTCTTCTCTTAATACCGCAGAGAATGGTTTTCCGTGCACAGAAAATATACGGCTTGTAGTTTGGAGACCCTGAATGCAAGCGTAGCGGCAGTGGGAAAAGTTTTTGAAAACCGAATCATACTCTTCCTTCGAGAACAAAGTTGGAAGAAGACGCTGATTTCTACCGAATGAGCAAAAGAATGAATATCTCTATGTATGTTTTCCATGAAATATAATTGAATTTTAAAGGGCACTGAAAATCAATGAGAAAATTGCATGCTACTTAAGCAGGCATTTCTTGCAGAGTATAGTTCTTGCATGCAGTCGAAAATAATTTCATTCGATAGCCGGCACCCTGAGGTAACCGGATTGTTATAGAATTATGCTGCATGATGATTAGTTTTACAACCCTACTTAATTAATCTTTTCGAAACGAGAACGAATTTGGGAATTTCGACAGAGCTTTCATGAGTTAGCCCACCTACTGTATATTGGGATACTGCTGCACGATAATAGATGCTACAACCCCACCTAAGTAATCCTTTGTAGTCGAAACCCAATTTTAGAATTTTGTTTAACATTCCCTGGGATAGCGCGGTTACTGTACATACGTGCTGGGCACAAACAATGCCACCATATTCAATTTCACGCGGACGATCACCACTTCGCGTAGATGTGATCAGTCGAAAGATTTGTCCCAGCGAATAAGAGCCGCATAAATAGCAAGAAATATTTGTTTCGTGGGGTGAGACGATGCCGCTGAAAAGTAGAGAGGAACAATAATTCGTTTACTCCAATCCTGAGGGAGAGATCCATTTATGGAGGGTAGTCGTCAGATTCTAAGAACCAGACCCGACTGAAGCATAGCTTTTCAACACGAAAAGCACTTTGAAGTTCGTTTTAATATCCCACACTGCACCTCGACGCTTGAACATAAACGTACCAAAGGCCTCAGCGGAAGTCATTTAGGGCGATATGCAGGAAATCCTGTAAGGTTCTCTTCCGAGTCGACTTCATGGCAACGTTGACTGAAAGTCAGTCACCACAGTCACTGTGCTTGATGCATGATAGCCAGACATTTACGCCATACAAACCGTTGCATCACCGTTTTGCCTCAGGCCAAACCGACACCGAATTGCCGTTGACGTAAACAAACATACGGGCTTTTTACCTCCCAGATGCGCTAACAGTCATGGATGGAGGGGCTGTCAACTGAAATAATACTCCGGTCGTAAGGGCTCTTTCGAAATGGGAACTCCCCTCGACAAGGTCGATTAAAGTGGAATTGGGTACCAGGACGCGTGCAACACGTATTCAGGTGGCTTCAGTTTAGTCTGGCAGCCCTTCCGTGTCCATCTGCAATACTTGCGGCCCGGGAAGACGGGTTGCCCGTTAGCCTAGCTGCTGGCTACCCGGCGCGTCCACAGGTGGCGGATAGTGGGACGACCTTCAGTGAAGGTTAGCTGCGAAATAAGCAGACCCAGGTCTGACGAATAAGCAGTCGCGGACCAGCAGCGACATTGCTACCAGGGTGCGGTGGGCTGAAGTCTGGCACGCTGAAAGCCTTATAAAATGCCGCAAAGCCCAATGACGGCATTGTGACATGGCGACCGTAAACCGCCATTAAATAAGTTTACTTGCCACCGCTGCCTTGTGGTTAGGTTTTAAAGCCAAAGCGCTAGAGGAGACAACCTCGAACAAACAATCCGAGCGGCTGTTGGGGACCCGCCCGTATTCGAAATTCCCAGGAAACCTCATGCAACATGTCCAATCACAGTACTACGACCCATGCTACGGCGTCCGCGGGAACCGACGCGCTCCGCAACCCTAGTCCAGTGGTGCGGGCGAATAGTATGCGAGCTGGACTACTCAATCGTGGAAGGACTCTCGGTATTGGATGCTGGAAGGTACGAACGTTCCTGGGCCCTGGTGCCCAAAGTCTGACCGCACGCAGCCTTCATCAGTACAACGTGGATGTCTGCTGTCTGTCTGAGGTACGACTCCCTGACTCGGGCTCTCGTGAAATAAAGATCCCGGGAGTCGAATCCCACTTCACCCTGTACCACAGCGGCCCCCGCGATTCCTTTGGTCGACACGGTGTGGCGATCGCCCTATCACAACAAGCGGAGCTTGCGCTACTTGCTTGGGAACCAGTAAATGACCGGATGGCCTACGTGCGACTGAAGGGTCACTTCACGAACATCTCCATCGTCGCTGTGTACGCACCAACTTCGGCTGCCGAACAGCGCGATAAAGAGGCGTTTTACTCTCAGTTGCAAGCGCTAGTTGAAAGACTGCCTCGCCGCGATCTGCTGATTGTTGCTGGCGATTGGAATGGTCGAACCGGACCTGGCGACCCCACAACCAGTCATCTGCTTGGCCGCTTTGGGCTTGGTTCCCGATGTGAAAATGGTGAGAGATTGCTGAACTTCGCTGATCGAAACCGACTGCTTGTCACCAACACATGCTTCCAGCATCGCAAAAAACATCTGCTGACCTGGTATTCAAACGACGGTCGTACGGCCAGTCAGATTGACTACATACTAGTCAGCTCAAGGTTCCGCAGCTGGGTTCACGATAGCAGATCGATGCGTGGTGCCGAGACTGGTAACGCCCATGGGTCGGACCATGTCCTCGTCCGTACACGCCTGAAAGTTCACCTCTCATCCGCACCAAAAATGCCACGTCCTAGACGCCTCAATGTCGCAAAAATCCGGCAAGCCAGCACTGCCGAGACCCTAAGCAGAGAAATCCGGACCTGTTTTACGGCCCGAGCCGACGGAGAAGTCAGTAACCAGTGGTCGTCACTGAAGACATCAATCTATGGGACAGCTGAGAAAATCCTTGGATACACCCAGCGACGCCGCAGTGACTGGATCAGCGGAAGAACCCTGCAGTTGTCTGCTCAGACGGCCAGAGCCAGGTCCCGCAACGATGACTACTTCCGCCAACTTCGGAAGATGACGGCAAAATCGGCCAGGGATGACCGGAAACAATATTGGGCTGAAAAAGCGACATCCATAGAACAGGCCTCGAACGTTGGTGACACTCGAAAGCTCTATCGTCTGATCCGCCAAGTTAGCGGTAAGCCCTCTACACTGAGTGACTCTGTTCGCGATGTGAACGGCGGCTTTATTGCTGACAACTCGGCCAAAGTCGAGCGCTGGCGTGAGCACTTTGAGCACCATCTCAACTTCGATACCCAACCTACATCGCCCTTGTTCTCCTCCTCAGCGGAGTTTCTTCCCTCTCCTACCTATGCAGTGCCATGCGATCCCCCCTCCGAGGAAGAAGTCGCCGATGCCATACGAAAGTTGCGCAACAATAAGGCACCCGGAGAGGACGGTATACCCGCTGAAATCTTTAAGTCTTGTGTCGACACTGGCGCCCTGGCTCCATGAGGTGATTGAAAGAGCGTGGAGAGCCGAGGTTGTTCCTGATGACTGGGGCTTAGGCATCCTTGTACCTATCCTCAAGAATGGAGATAAGACGAGATGCGAGAACTACCGCGGCATAAGTCTCATCGACGTTGCTGCGAAGATCTTCGCTATTGTCCTACTCAGACGATTCCAGGCTGTGAGTGACTCGAGGACGAGGCCCAACCAAGCCGGATTTCGTGCTGGACGTGGATGCGCAGATCAGATATTCACACTGAGGCGCCTTCTCGAATTTCGTCATAGCTACCAACAACCGACCGCCGTCTGCTTCGTTGACTTTGCCGCCGCGTTCGATTCCGTTCACCGTGAGTCCCTGTGGCGGATAATGGCGCTAGATGGTGTACCGGCAAAAATCATCGCCATGATCAAGGCCTACTATCGTTCCACTACTGCGAGAGTCCTGGTCCGTAACAATTTTTCCCAACCGTTCGGTATTCGGTCTGGCGTCCGACAGGGTTGTATCCTGTCACCCATTGTGTTCAACTGTGCTATTGACTGGATCCTCGGGAGGGCCCTACGCGACAGTGACGGTGTTGAATTTGCACCCGGACATCGACTGACTGATCTCGACTATGCCGATGATATCGCCTTACTTGCTTCAAGTTTTGGTGATCTGCAGTCTATGGTGTCACGAGTTAACGAGGTCGCTAAATCAGTCGGTTTGTCCATAAACGCTGGGAAGACCAAAGCATTCTCAAGCTGCATCCCTGACCAGGAGAAGGCACCCCTGGGGATTGATGGCTGTCAACTTGAAGAAGTGGACAGTTTTAAATAACTCGGGGCGCGGCTGCTGCCTAATGGACAGAGTAAGGACGACATTGTCTCCCGAATCGATGCTGCCCGCTGGGTTTTTTCAAGCCTTCGGAAATACCTGTGGAACCGACGTGACCTCTCCATCGCCACTAAGATTCACGTGTACCGTGCATCTGTCCGGTCTGTCCTTCTCTACGGTTGTGAATGCTGGGCTTTGCGCGTGGCGGATGAGCGAAAACTGGAGGTATTTGACCACCACTGCTTGAGGATCATCCTTCGAGTGAAGTTAACCGACTTCGTCTCAAATGAGATAGTCCGCGCTCGCTGCGACAACATCGCGAGGATAACTCAGGCCATCCAAGAAAGACGACTGAGGTGGTTCGGGCATGTTCTTCGTCGTCCACCTCAGGAGCTCAGTGTTATTGCCTTCGATCCGGCACCGTTGCCCCATTGGAGGCGTCGAAGAGGGGGTCAGTTCAAAACCTGGCTCGACACTATCCGTCAAGACATGGAGGGGGTTCTTGGACCTTCGGTATTCGGTCTCCGTCGTTGGCGAAGGGAATGGGTTGAGCTGTCTAGATCTGCTGCCGCGGATCGTCACGCGTGGAGAGGTACGATTCGGGACATCATTGAGGCCGGCTAGATCAGGCATGATCGCAGCCGTATCAAGTACAAGTAAGTACTTGCGGACCTGTGCTCCAATTGGAGGGCTTTGAAATGAGGGAAGCGGAGTCAATAAGACTGGAGAGGCTGACGCTGCCGGAGCCGCCCCTGGGCGTGCCGCCACACCGGCTCGCACCCCAATCAGTGTGAGTTCCGTAGAGGCCACATTAAGAAGGAGCCATTGCAGCCCAACTCTCTGTCCGCCAGTCCGCCACGCCACAAAAACACACACTGGGCTGACTGCGAGGTTCAAGTTATCCCCTCAGTTGGCAATCATCCAAGCGCCGGCTTTTAGCGCACCGGGATAGCTTCAGGCGCATCAGCTTGTTTATGGTGAGGAGGAAAGTGCGATGAATCTTCGACCCCACTCTCTATTCCTATTCCCAGGTCCCAGCCACTGTTCGCGGTGTATGTGGTACGGTAATAACCTAGTTGCTCTTGTCATGTAAGTGTCGAGGTTTGAAATCGGTTAGAGGCGGACTTCAAGCGCCCCTCTACCAATCGCATGATCCAGATTGAAATAAAACTGCCCCACTTTGTATGTTGTCACACCCCGCGCTTACTTGCGTTATTCTCTTCAGGGAATACTGATTCAATGCAGACCCTATCGATACAATCGGAAGTTAAGTTCCAGGAGGCAGTTGTGAAGAAGGACACGCAATCGCTCTATTCGCCTCACACTTCGGATTCCCAAGGAACCAGTCGGGAGCACAAGTGTTTCTCACCTGGTCCTATCTTTTGCGTGATAGAGCAGGATTTGCAACCTTGTCTAAGCTTCCCCGCAAGTGGCTTTACTTTGTCAGCCCCTTCTTCCATGACCCGTTGCTATTTTAACAGGTTTTTTTAATGGGACGACAAATGTGCTGTATGCTCCGTGGACGTTATCTCTTCTCCCACTCACTCCCTTCTTGCTCTCGGGGGCGATTTAAACGGCTTAGAGGCAACGGTAGGGTGTAGGACCCCCAAATAACTTGAGCTAGCCTGTGGACTGTGTCATGCGTTGAATGGTGGTAAAGGGGTTTTTACGGGTGAGGCAGCACACAGAACGGAGAACAATAAGACACAGAAAATATATAATTTTCTGCCGAAAGTCTTATCGTACGCTGTCATTTGGCAAACAGAGTGAGCGAGATAATTTAAATGTGCGCAAAAACAATCTCCGAAAAAATAAGGGACTTTGAACATAGACTCTTGTTAAGTCTGAATTTTGTCAGGAAGGGAAGAAAATTTCAAACGATGGAAACGGTGAATAATAAGTGATGTTCAAAGTCGCACTGAATTTTAGGGTATATTTTTGTGGTCGGCATCTACTTGTGGGTCCTATCGTTACCGGCTGCTGCTTCTGAAACTCCGATGCCGTGACCCCCCAAAACCTAAGCTATGGACGGATCAATCACTGGGGTCATCGTTATATGTGCCTGAGCCTTGAGACTCCCGTAGAACCTGATTAATAGAGACAAGGAAAAACAACAGAAACCTATGAGGATTTGAATCCCATCGCATATAAAGACGGCAAGGAAAATTTTATCCTGGTCTTAGGAAGCATAGTCAGAGATCAAGATCATTCAGTAACCCCAGCCCGTTTTGTAGCCGGTCGCGCTAAAACAGTTATGTTCCCCAAGTGCGATGCATCTCGACAATATGGATTCGTGAACAGGTGTTTGAAATGTCCATTTTAATGACATTTGAACTGCGTGATGGCAGAGTCAGTTCTATACGAAGTCTTATAGATAAGACCAGATTGCTTACCTGATTCGAAAATACGGCCAGATCACAGTTGGTAGCCAGGACCCGTATTACAGGTGGCTGGGGAGTTTGTATACTGGGGCAATTTTGTGGGGCTCCATAATCACATCCGTCCCATTTGGCTTCCGTTTTACGGTTGAGGTTAGGATAAGGGAACCGGTTAATGGTTTCCGATTTTCAGGTTAGGGTTATGCCTTTAGGCTTAGGTTTTCGGGTTACGGTTAGGGTTTGAGCGTACGAATGGGTTTCAGTATTACGGTTAGGCTTCTCAGTTATGGCTATGTCTAAGAGCTACGGTTACTTTTACGATTTCGCTTAGGATTAGGGTTTGGAATGCCGTGAGGGTTAACGGTTAACGTTTAAGGTTGAGGTTGGGGTTAGGGTTGAGGTTAGGATTAGGGTTAAGGTCGCCGTTCGCTTCCCATTCCTGGCTACCAACTGCGATCTAGCTGAAAAGACTACTTAAGTAGGGCTGTAATATTAATTACCATGCAGCACATTCCTAAGATATTTCAGTCACGCCAGGATGCCGGCATTCGAATGAAGTTCTTTTCAACCGTCTTCGAGAACTCCACTCCGTAAATAAAACTATTTATGCAGTATGACTCTTTCGCACGGATTTTCCACCCACCTTTAAATCCAAATATGCTATACAGAAAACACCCACAAAAATATTTCCCCTTATACTCATTTAGTAGAGAATAGCATCTTTTTTATTTTTTGATTTATGAGCTTGCATCTTCTGGTTTAAAAAGTTTATATTTATGGTATTTTTTAAGTCCGTGAAATTTTCATTCACACAGCATCGCGTCAGCTTGTTTATGAAGGTTACTTATAAAACATACGAACTGGTACACATACACTGAACAATTTTATGAGTCCTATATAACCTCTTCCTAATAGTTAGGAGAAATGCGCGGTACTCTTCTCACGCTGACATCAAAGGTCCGGCCGAAAGCCTTCCCAGTAAACAAGAGGCAGGACCTCGGCCAAGGAAATATCAGGGAGCAGCATAGTGACGCAACTGTGTTAAAACAACGCGCTCACACGTCGGCCTCCAGTGTGGGGGGCAGAACCCACCGAAGCGGCCTGACAGAACGAAGACAGGTAGACCACTGTTTTCATAATCATTTCCCAGGGAGCGCTCTATCCCAAAGCAGGAGTCTGTCGCTCTAACACATTCAGGTCACTATGCGGCTCATTGAATTTGCCGTGGCTGCGGTTCTGACGTCGGCTTACTAGAGGCTGACATTCTTACGACCAGACGATAAGATCCCGTGTCTGGACAATGACAGCAGATTAAAAACTACTATCAGCTGCTGTCGCTGCACTCCCATAAAATCCGTCGGCTTGGACAAAACGTCAATTACTGTGATCAATACGTGTCCCTCCTTTTCTTCTCAGCAATTGCCCAAGATTAGCATTTGTGCGGTATTCGAGAGAGGTATGCGGGCTTTATCGTAATTGTTTGCCAACAAATTCAGTATATCAGCTGGGATATGGTGAAGCGAACGATGAATGATGGATACTGTTTACGGTAATCAACGAAAAATTCACTGGGATTTCAGGATGCTTGCATGAAAGCAAACAGAACCCTTTAGAATTAGTGCAAAAAGTAGTTTAATTGCAATAATTTCACTAGTATTCCATTCACTGTTTCTATCATTTTTATTTCACAAGTGTATCCAGCCGACCACCTGCCATTTGAACTGTACAGCCCAGGGGTTCATATATAGACCGTCATTCCTGCACATCTTCCCATCTCTCTCCGCCATCGATGATTGATTCAAATATGGCTCAAAAGTGCCCCGCAAGTCAAGCTTTTATTCAAGTGATGAGCCGTATATCCTCGCAGGCGAGAACCTGCTGAAGGATGTCTTTTAGTGATTTTTGAGTTCTTGTACCATTTTAAGCTATTCTTTCCCGGCGAACTTGCTCTGCCCCTGCAGGCAACATCTGTCTACTGGTAACCTTTGAAACATTATGACAATTCAATCAGGAATGGGCGCACACCTATCTATTGGCCTCACGAAGCAAACAAGCTCCGTATGGGTGGCAAAGGTCACGAACAGGCAACCAATTACCAGGCCGAAGTCGGCCAAGTCATATTAGCAGCGAGGAGGGACGACAGAGAACGCGGGTAGATTGAGACAGTACTGTTTCGGACTTATTGTGCCTTAATTCAGCCAATCATAACCCTGACCAACAACTGGGACCAGAAACACAAACATGCGCACAGACGTTTCTGGTCCCAGCTGTTGGTCAGGGTTATGATTGGCTGAATTAAGGCACAATAAGTCCGAAACAGTACTGTCTCAATCTACCCGCATTCTCTGTCGTCCCTCCTCGCCGTTATTATGACAACTATTGTAGCCAAGCGCACATGTTGGTTTGCTGTATGAGATCAAGCATGCTCCTATCGATTCAGTTTTTGGAAAGATCAGTGTGTTTGAATCTTATTAACTAAGATAGAACAGGATGAACAGGCAGTGTTCTTTCTCCTGATCATTAAATACGGGGGGCAAATTACAGTCCCCAGGATTGGCGGAGAAGATCAAAGTCATATGTCAATCCAAATGACAGTTTAAGAGCGACAGCGTCCGCCGGCGTCCC